CTTCTTTTGGTACCAATTAAGTCAAAATTAGTTGAAAAACAAAAAAATAACAATCTAAAATGCATTTACAACTTATTAAGATATTCCAAAAAGGGGCGTGGCCTTTGTGTCCTGTTTCCATAGCAACATCTTCAAATTTAATTGAAATTGTTATCAGAGTATTATAGTCAAACATTGAAATTGTTATCAGAGTATTTTAGTCAAACAATCTTTGGCATCAGACATGTTTTAGCATGGTGACAAGTTAAATGCATTTTGGCACAGAAAACCCCTTAACAGAATTCAGTTTTTGAGGAAAGAGTGGTTAATGACGTCATAATTGATGTAAAAATGAGCTAATTAGCATAATTTATGCATGAGGTAAAATTTATTTTAATTCCGCATCTTTTGATACCAAATATGTTAAGATTGTTTGAGAAAGAAGAAAGTTATAATACAAAATGCATTATACACTTATTAAAACATTGAAAAGTGGGCGTGGCCTTTGCGTCCCGTTTCCATAGCAACGGAGGCATATTTAGATGAAATTAATATCAGATCCTTGATCTAGAGGTCTCTAGCTTTAATTTGGTATATGATATGTCTTCATACCTCTCAAGACTTTAAACTCCTCTAAATAAGGCCTTTTGGAGGATTTCCTACTCGCCTAATATGATTGACGTATTTCAAAAATTGAATTTTTAGCCTTATTTGGCGCATTCTGGGCAATTCTGGTGCATTCTGAGCGATTCTAGGATCAAAATATATGATTTACGTATTTAAAAAACTGAATTTTTAAGCTTTTTAGCGCATTCTGGGCGATTCTGATCGTTCTATGGATCAAAATATATGATTTACGTATTTTTTGACACGTTCTGAGCGATTCTAGGATCAAATATATGGTTTATTAAAAAAACAGGGGCATGCTCCCCTGAAAAAGTTAAGATCAAAAGATATGATTAATTTCCGAATTATTTAGTTGCCTCGCTATTCTAGTCAATTTAGAATTTTATAAAAAGAAAGTGGCAATCACATCAAAATACACCGTTATGTCACCAAATGTTACCTCCTACCTCGAAATGTCAGAAAATTCTTCAAGAAAGCAAAAAAGGTAGGTCCACATTATTTTAGGAGATATCTGGGGGGGGGGCTCGCACGAAGGATAGAGATGGAAAGGGCGTGGCAAAATAATTTTGGTCGCCCCCAACGCAACAATGGTAGAATCATATTAACCTTTCTCTTTATTTAACATTTTTTATTTTCTATCACCCTTTAGCCTATGCATAATATTATTTTGATATTTCCAAAGAATGAAAAGCAAACATTCACATTGCACATTTCACTACAATGTATGTCTGTATGTAATATAGTCTTGCTTAGTAATAGTAGTAAATATCTGAATCTGAATCTGCTTCAAGACTGTGAACCTGGCTCCCTATCTACATGTAAACAACAGTTCGTTGTCAGAGTATACTGTCGTCCAGGATCTCAAATCAGTACAAAATGAATATTTTTCGTACTAAATGCACTACTTTTAATAGGTGCATTCATGCACCCTCTGAGTCTCTGAGGATCGTGTTGGCCTAGTAATACAAGTCCATACGACAATCCAACGCATTAGAGGCGGTGTTCACCGTCTATACTTTTAAGAGTATCAATTAGTACTCATAAAGGATAGGTATCAATATGGTGAACTGAGTTCAACAATGTTTTTCTCTTAAACCAATTATTGAAAACATTCTGTAAAAACAAGGTATTTTATGTTATGTTGACTGATTGACAACAATTTAATGCGAAAATTATTTAGAAATATTTTATATAACTGTTTTTGTTAACATTTTTTGTTTTTTTAGTGCAATTGTTATTGCTTCTTTCTACCAATTCTTGAGAATGAAATAAAATGTCTTTCCAAACCTTGTTGGAACAAAATAGCATGTACAACATTTTTTAGACCTCTCAATATTATAGTTATACAAAGGAATTTTTGGTTGATTTTAAAAAAGTATTCAAAAAATTAACACAAAATCCCCCCAAAATAGATTAAAAAATCAAGATAAACTTTTTATTTCATTAACAACATACCTGCCAACCTAAGACAAAAATTTTGCGGTAGATTTTTTTAAAATTGCTGTATTTTTGCGGTAGATTTTTTCAAAATACGGTAGTTTTTACGGTACTTTTAAACAAAATTGCGGTAGTTTTTGCGGTAGATTTTATAAAAAAAACGGTAGTTTTTGCGGTAGATTTTTTAAAAAACGGTAGTTTTTGCGGTAGATTTAAAAAATACGGTAGTTTTTGCGGTAGATTTTAAAAAAATACTGTAGTTTCAGAGGTTTGGGGTAGATTTTTGAAAAAAGTATAATTTTGCGGTAGAAATTTGAAAAAAGCGGTAGTTTTGCGGAAGATTTAGAAAAAATGCGGTAGTTTTACGGTAGATTTTTAAAAATGCGGTAGTTTTTTACGGTAGCTTTTTGAAAAAACCGGTAGTTTTGCGAAAGATTCTGAAAAAATGCGGTAGTTTTACGGTAGATTTTGAAAAAATACGGTAGTTTGTACGGTAGTTTTTTGAAAAACCGGTAGTTTTGCGGAAAATTTTGAAAAAATGCGGTAGTTTTACGGTAGATTTTGAAAATTGCGGTAGTCTTTACGGAAATTTTTTGAAAAAACCGGTACTTTTGCGGAAGATTTTGAAAAAATGCGGTAGTTTTACGGTAGATTTTGAAAATTGCAGTAGTTTTTACGGTAATTTTTGGAAAAACTGGTACTTTTGCGGAAGATTTGCCAAAATGCGGTATTTTTCGGTAGATTTTGAAAAATGCGGTAGTTAAACCTTTATACAATGCGGTTTTTCATATTGATACAATGTTTACGTGGTCATATTGTTGTTGTTATTGTGAATACATATTTTACTGCAAGAGTGCTTTTGATAATTACAGTTTGTAAAGTAGAACTACCACCTGAGAATTATACGAAACTATTATTTTCAAGAAAAAATAGATATACTATTTTCAAGAATAAATAGAGACTAAACACTTTTTATTCTTCATTTACCATGCCTACAATGGACTGACAGCAACTTTGGATTTTAATGTTTCAGCAAAATGTACATATACAACTCTTTTACAATAAATCTAGATTGATTCAAAATACGAACACAATATTCATATCTCAACTTTTATTCACCTTCTAACCAGTTTTTTTTAGATATTAGGATGTTTGGAAATACCATGAATGAAACATTTACTGAAATACAAAATATGGATTTTACACGTTTTTACTCACCATCTTATATGATCTATCACTTTAACGAATTAAAATGACAGACATAATGTTCATATAACATTGGAATCATATGGTATTAAATATTGATTTGTTCACTCGCAAGTCTCTAATGATATCAATGTGTTTGTCTGGCACAAATAGAAAATAAGTACAGATCAATTGTCTTCCAAAAATAATCTGTTATGAGCATTTGCTGAAACCTTTCCCCTGAGACATCGTTCAGATTCGGATGTCACAATACGTTTATAATAAACCAGAACTCAATGCTTTATTTTTTAATTATGTATTTGTTACTGATAATGTGTTCTGATGAAAAATACAACATTTTATCGTTCTGTTAACAAATTGATTAAACTATGTATAATGTATATGTGCCGTTCGATCATTGACTCATAACAAATCAAACTACGCATATTTCATACGCTAAATATGCATACACATTTCCACTCATTTATTTAGATGAAGCGCAACTAAAATCATATTTTTGTTGCATTCGGAATAAAGATTTGTGTACAAAAGGGTTTGGTTAACTACAAAAATCATGGCAGAAAGAATTCTTTCTAGCTAGTGGTAGTTGGTGTTTGGACTGATTACACGCAAGCTTACTTAGATAAATATGCGCAATAACCTGATAACCACAGACCTGCCGATACCTATTTTTATCCTATGCCTAGTAGAGTTTTAGAGAGATAAGTTGGTAAGATATATCCCGTATCCTGATTTTGAGGTTTCCATATCCAGAACCTCCATATCTCCCGCTTCGGTGCATATCTTCCCGCTTCCGGTGCATATCTTCCCGCTTCCGGTAATGCATTAAAATGACTTGATTTGTTTATTTTTACACCTTGTACTATTGAAATGGCCATATGCCCCTGAAAACTCTACTTGGTATAGGATAAAGCAGTTATGTACGGTCGGTTTGGATATGGGGTTCATCCCTCGGGAGATATGCACATCTACCTTCGGTCCCTACGGTCCCTCAGGTAGATATGCATATCTCCCTCTGGATAAACCCCATATCCAAAACCTCCCAGTACATAACCCTTATATATTCGGGTTGGTGAAGGAATATTACAGGGACAGTACAGGAAGACTTCAATTTTTCAGCATTTCCCAATAACAATAACGGGAAATTTTACGGTAGTTTGAACAAAAATACTGTTGATTTTAGCAGAAATACGGTAGATTTTCGAAAATTTACGCTAGATTTTCAAATATTTACGGTAGATTTTACGGCCGTTCTCATGAAATAAACGAGTTTTTTAAAAAGAAAATTTACGGTAGATTACGAAAAAAATACGGTAGATTTTTTTACGGGCGTTTTTACGGGAAAAAATGGTATTTTTTTACGGTAGTTTGTCATTTTTTTACGAAAAACGAAAAATTTACGGTAGATTCCCGTAAAAATACGGTAGGTTGGCAGGTATGAACAAGATACTTTTTTAAAATCAACCAAAATTTCCTTTGTACAATTACAATATTGAGAGACCTAAACATGTTGTGTTTATGTCATTTCGGAAAGATGTTTCATTTCACTCTGGAAACATGATACCAAGAACAAAACAAGTGTTTGATGTATTTTCTAAAACAATATAGATGAAAGTATATATATATTTTTCAAATTATATTGTTACCATTCAAAAGATGACCATTAAATTGACGATGTGATAAGGTGAACGCTCAACAATATTTCACTAGATAGACTTTATAGTGAATTCAATGTTGTATATTGTTAAGTTGTGGAATCTTCAACTAGATTTTCTCAATATTTCACTGCGTTCAGTCGTGGAATCAACTAGAATTACTCAATATTTCACTGTGTTCAGTCATGCATTGTCATGGAATCAACTACATTTTCTCAATATTTCACTGTGTTCAGTCATGAAATCAGCTAGAGTTTCTCAATATCTCAAAGCATTCAGTCATGGAATCGACTAGATTTTCTCAATATTTCACAGCATTCAGTCATGGAATCGACTAGATTTTCTCAATATTTCACCACGTTCAGTCATGGAATCTGCTAGATTTTCTCGATATTTTACTGTGTTCAGTCGTGGAATCAACTAGATTTTCTCAATATTTCACAGCATTCAGTCATGGAATCAACTAGATTTTCTCGATATTTTACTGTGTTCAGTCGTGGAATCAACTAGATTTTCTCAATATTTCACAGCATTCAGTCATGGAATCGACTAGATTTTCTCGATATTTCACAGCATTCAGTCATGGAATCAACCAGATTTTCTCGATATTTTACTGTGTTCAGTCGTGGAATCAACTAGATTTTCTCAATATTTCACAGCATTCAGTCATGGAATCAACCAGATTTTCTCGATATTTTACTGTGTTCAGTCGTGGAATCAACTAGATTTTCTCAATATTTCACAGCATTCAGTCATGGAATCGACTAGATTTTCTCGATATTTCACTGTGTTCAGTCATGGAATCGACTAGATTTTCTCAATATTTCACAGCATTCAGTCATGGAATCAACCAGATTTTCTCGATATTTTACTGTGTTCAGTCGTGGAATCAACTAGATTTTCTCAATATTTCACAGCATTCAGTCATGGAATCGACTAGATTTTCTCGATATTTTACTGTGTTCAGTCGTGGAATCAACCAGATTTTCTCAATTTTCTGTGTTCGTTGTGTTCAGTCATGGAATCAACTAGATTTTCTTAATATTTCACTAGATAGATTATTATAGTGAATCCAGTGTTTTACATGCTCAGGTGTTGGTAGAGGTGACACTGGTCTACCATAGTGATCATCTAGTGCATTCTGGGGGGAAATACCTCCTGACCATGTCTGCTTTAATGTAACAACAGCACATACAAAACTGTCCCTATTCCTCACAAATTTTTGTTCGACGTAGAATGCCTTGTCATCCCAACATAGGAGCTGAAATTAAAGATTGACTTAAGTTCAGATCACTACAAGAGCAACTGTGCCCTGTCATGTGCATTCGATTTTAACTTTTAAGAGTACGTAGGGGCATATTCAGACACGGGATATTCATTCTCAAACAATCTTTAACAGTTTAATAATTCATGGTTTTGCATGATTTCTTTATTGAAACTTCAAAAAATTAGACACATCGTGATTCTGTGATATACATTGTAAAGAGTCTTACATGACAATGCCCCAGATTTTCACCTGATCCCAAGGGTTTTTCCGGGAATGCCCCATGGCCGAAAATGCCCTAGCTAAGAAGTCTATGATCAGACAATATTTTGAAGCAAGTTCACCATTTGTCTTTTCATGTTGTAACAAGAGACCTGAATGTCACAGTGAGAGTGAGATACATTTGCCCATAGGCACACACTTTGCGCTAATATTCAAATTTCTTAAATGTTATTAACATGAACCATACTAGTACTGGAACTGATTTATGGTATATGTCAGTATGTAATATGCATGTCACTCAGGAGAGTTTATTTCTGGAGAAGGGACCTTGCGACTCAGAAAATAAATTTGCACCACTCCTTGAAGCTATTATACATTGGTGGAAGTTTTGTTTTGTCCAAAATCGCAAAATGCTGCCTTATGTTACATGTAAGAAACCCCTGAAAAGCTTAAAACATACCTTTGTAATGATATTATAAGTATCAAATAAATCGATGGATTTCCGATATCTTATTGTACTTGCTCCAGCCAGCATTCTGCCCTTAAGCTTTCTCACAGCCTGGTATATTCCTGTGGTGATCCAGAAGTCAAATCTAGCAAAGTCACACTCCCGTAAATACCTAAAAAACATTGAACTTTACAATGAGTTTCAATTTTGCGATAAATAATTGTGGGCATGTCCAAAAACAATTGAAGTAAAATAGGTTTCTTTTAATTCTACTGAATTCTGATATACCAATGAACTACAGCCTTGTGCTTGGATGAATATTAGGAAACACCCTGAGTGTACATACCAGGTTGTTCAATAAATTGGCGGAAAAATTACACTGATTCAAAGATTTTCAATACTTTTTCATGAAATTGATTCGTAAAATATCAACATATCTAATTTGATTGTTCAAAAATAATGGTTAACTTTGAAATGAGAAGATTTTTCTGTGAACTTATTGAAAGACCTGGTATCCTAGTTTATATAATGCTACTATGGCATTCTGTAAAAATACACAGTCCTTTATGTAATGTTGACTGACTGACAATAATTTAATGCGAAAATTATTTATATATACTTTATATAATTGTGTTTGTTAACATTTTTGTCTTTTAGTGCAATTGTTTTTTGTTACTTTCAGGGTGTAGTTATACATAAAAGGAAATTTTGGTTGATTTAACAAAAAATATTCAAAAAAAATAAATAAATAGATTATGATTAAGATAAACCTTTTATTTCATTAACAAGATACTTTTCTAAAATCAACCAAACTTTCCTTTGAACAATTACAATATTGAGAGACCTAAACATGTTGTTCCAATGAGGTTCGGATACAGAGGTTTCATTTCATTCTGAACATATGATACCAAGAACAAAAGAAGTGTCTGAAGTGTTTTCTAAAACAATATAGAGAAAAAATTTTTCCAAAGTATAATGTTTCCATTCAAAAGGTGACCATTTAAGTTGATGATGTGTAAGATTTTCATAATTTTTTGACGACTGGTTTAAGAGAAATGTGTGTTTAAAAAGTTCACCATATCGATACCCATCCTTTGGATATTCAATAATTACCTGGCATTATTCATGTGCAGCACCAGATCTAGGTCAGTTGTCAGACATATACCTGCAAATATTATGGAGAGTACAGTAATACTAGGTCAGTTGTCAGACATATACCTGAAAATATTATGGAGAGTACAGTAATACTAGGTCAGTTGTCAGACATATACCTGAAAATATTATGGAGAGTACAGTAATACTAGGTCAGTTGTCAGACATATACCTGAAAATATTATGGAGAGTACAGTAATACTAGGTCAGTTGTCAGACATATACCTGAAAATATTATGGAGAGTACAGTAATACTAGGTCAGTTGTCAGACATATACCTGCAAATATTATGGAGAGTACAGTAATACTAGGTCAGTTGTCAGACATATACCTGCAAATATTATGGAGAGTACAGTAATACTAGGTCAGTTGTCAGACATATACCTGCAAATAGAGTACAGTAATACTAGGTCAGTTGTCAGACATATACCTGCAAATATTATGGAGAGTACAGTAATACTAGGTCAGTTGTCAGACATATACCTGCAAATATGATGGAGAGTACAGTAATACTAGGTCAGTTGTCAGACATATACCTGCAAATATTATGGAGAGTAGAGTAATACTATACATGTATGTGTAAAATACAGTTATACCATAATCACTGTGATATTAGTTGATTCTTTTTTTCAAAAAAAATATTTCTCCCGATTTTTGGAAAAAATATCTTAATTTTTATTTTTTACTTGATAGGTACAATTAAGCTTGGCCTGAGAGACTGACAGAGTCTGGTTTGAACATGGGTGGAGAGGAAATGGTGCTGTGTCAGATTGCTAATAAAAAGTAAGTTACAATAACTACAGCGAGAGACCAGGGAAGGAACAAATAACGTAACCATCCGACGACAAGATATTGTACCATCTAAGATGCAGTTGGCAGTTTATATTCAATGGACGGTGCCTCAGCTGGCTTTAGACAGAAAGACAGGTACATGTATGTTTGCAGTAAGTATAAGAGTAGATATCTATTTACTGCAAAACATGACTCCCAAATAAATGTCAATTGATTGATTTGTGTTAGATGTGTCTCTTTCTTTTATTTGATGTAATGTCAAAAGCAAGAAAAAAGCGCAAATCAACCCCGTAGTTGTGGGGATACTGTGAATGTAAGGACCAAAATGGATTTGATGTTCACCATGACTGTACATTTTCCCATGACTGTACAGCCCTGTACAATAAGTAGACGCAGTGGCGTAGCCAGGATTTGGTGACCAGGGGTTCTATTTTTATGTTATCCACAAATCTCCACATTCATCGGTGTACCTCACATAAAAGCATTTTTGTATTTGTCATACATACAATTTTCACCACTCCAAAAGTTTGGCAACCGTAACACCCCCATTGAGTGTTTTTGGTGAATCTTTTACTGAAAAGATATTGAAATCTGGGGGCAAAATCATACATTTTAATACAACATTTGTTTAATGAAATCCAAATCAAGAGTTAGCATACATTGAGCTAACTTTTGTTAAGGGCAAATCCTAACATATCTTTAAGGAACATATTTTTAACGAGCTATTTTATTTTGAAATCCTCATTCCTAATTCATTCTTTAGGGTTCAAGGCATTCAAAGATACAGGGTGTCCGGAAAGTAAAGATACAAATGCTCTCATTTCAAGAGATTTACCTGTTATGAGATGAAATTGCACCTGAATGTAGAATGACATTCTAACAATATATCCTGCAACTGTCAGGACTTTCAGTTTCAAAATGAAAAAGTTATGGTTGTTATGGTAATGAGAGTCGAGGGTAAGTGGAGCAACGTCACAACTGTGTTGTACAAATCTCTTTCCTGCTCATACATGCGGTCCTAACTTGGACCGTTATTTTAAATTTTTGACCTACCGGATGTTTGAAAATCAAGGATTACGAGTCTCATACTGCACCGTTTTTCTTCAAACTTGTTCCATTCAAGGTATAACAAAAATCCCTTTCTGATGGTACATTATTCTCTTAAACGGATTCCCTACTTTCAGCGGCATTTTGGTCCCCAGCTGTAAGAAGGCCTTCTAACAGCTGGGGACCAAAACGCTGTTAGAACGAGGGACTCTTTACAATAAAGTAATGCACCGACATAAAGGCAATTTTGTTCTGCTTTTAATGGTATAAGTTTGAAGAAAAACGATGCAGTATGAGAGTCGCAATCCTTGATTTTCAAACATCCGGTAGGTCAAAAATTCAAATTAACGGTCAAAGTTAGGACCGCGTGTCATATGATCTTGGCACTCCACGATCTATTCCTATATTATATCAAATTATGTACCACAACAGCAGAGAGATTAGTACTGCAACATTATTTGATCATTTCATATTACTACTATCATTAAATATTCAGTATTTTCCCCATTATCTTAACATTCTTGGTGCATCTTGGCCGGCGATTCAAAGACCTGACAAAACCGCTGTTTTCCATCTCTCAGATTGCTGATAAAATTGGCTTCCAGCTGAGTCCCATTTTGTATGTTGAACTTCTTTGAAATATTGCTTTCAAATGGTCATTAAGGTAGAAGTCAAAAGATGCTCTATCAGGTGAATATAGGACATTGAAAGGCTTTATGTCAAGACACTCCATTGTAAGATTTGTTTTTTGCTTTGTGAATTGGTGTATTGTGGAGATGCAATATTGACTTTCCTACTAATGGCCAGGGACCATTCTTCTAGGCACTTGTATAATATTTCTTTGATTATACTGGTTAGTGATATAACTACTAGTTCTGATATGTAGCAATGACATCATTATATAAAAGAAAACGCTATGGCAGTGACAATACAATGATGAACAAAACAAACCATAGATAGGAAATACAACAAAAAACACTGTTTGAAATGGTTGTCTTTAAGCAATTTTTCACATTTTAGCGTTGTTCAGGAACTGCTCCGCATAACAAGTCCAAAGATAGATTCCTGCATGTATAACTGGTCATGGCGTAATCATAAAATATGAAATCAAATGTCCGCCATTTTTCCACATCACAATTTGAATTGCAAGTTTTGGTCTTATTACCTCACCAAAAATTCCAAAACACACATGAAGTGATCAATGTATTAGTTCACATCTTCTGGATCGCTAGAATTTACAGCCAGTTAGTAATATCAGACATTAATGACATTTCGTCCAGTTTGGAATATCGCCATTTTTCTTGGAGCCATTCGTTTTAATTTTAGACGAAATCCTGATGAAATCATATCTCATCATGGGGCGGTCCCATTTTAATTAATGATTTATTTATCAGGCTATTTCTAAAATATTCAATGAATTTATGACACGCCGGCCAGCTTTTTTTCAAATGGAGTTCACGGTATTCCAGATGAAATTACCTCTAGCCAAGAATTAGCTAGAGACTCAAGTAACCCCAGATGATTCAGATTGATTTTTCAAATCACCCCCAAAACTACTTCGGTTCACAGGCACCAGTATCGCCACCTTTTAGCAGTCGGATTAGAACGATCTAAGCCCTGTATTTTAAAGGGCTTAGGTCGTTCTAATCCGACTGCTAAAAGGTGGCGATACTGGTGCCTGTGCTTCGGAGCGTAGCGACTACTTTGCGGGAGACCTCGAACCATTGATCACGTTTGCTCCTGTAATTATTCACTTCTTCACCTCTTTAAAATGTAATTTCAATCAGTTGATCAAATTTTCGGACTTTGACCTCAAGTTCAAATATTGATATTTATAACAAAAAATACTGACTCATTATTTTATTTTTAAAAGTCTTTCAAATAAAGTGAAATGAAGCCAAAATCAGCTAAAATTATGCAATGTCGTAAAATGGCGTTACTGGAATATGATGCAATCACCTGTGACGTCAGACACGTATTGCCACATCAACAACTAAACAAACAATTAATATAGACTTAACTGATTGGTTTAAATATTCTTCGCATCATTTGTGACGTCATAAGCATGTACCCCCATAGATGTGGGGTTATTTTGAGGTTTTTTGATATTTAGGACATTTGTTGAGAAACAAATGTCCTAAATATAAAAAAAACTCAAAATAACCCCACATTTATGGGGGTATAAGCATGTTACCCAACCAACAACTAAACAAATAACAAATAGGCATAGGTTCGTTCAGTGCCAAGCTCCTGAATCAGTTATAAACAGGATAATTAAAAGATATATGATAGGGTCAGGATTTTTTGACTTGGAGACCTCGACTCGAGGAGTTTGCTGCATTTTCTTGTTTAGCCAACCTCTTTCAAATCTTTTGACACACTGATCTGATACAGTACCTGGGGTAAAGACTTCTCCATTCAGTGCATCAACTGGTCTGATGGTTCGTTTGACAAGAGCTAATATGTACATAAGTATTCCTCGCCAGAAATAGTGGAAATCAAAGAAACAGAAGAGAAAAGTTGAAATCAGCAAGATCCAAAACATTTTAAGTCACGTGACTTCACCATGTGAAACTTCCGGATCCGTCTGTTCGTCTTCGGTAAAAAGATTTTTTATTTTTATTGAATGAATATTTCAACGTTTTCCTTCCCCTCAGTTAACTTTTAAAGGTAATCAATCATCTATTGGAGTTTCTAAACGCGTGCTCCAGATCTTGAGTTGTTTCCAAACAGCGCATTATGAAATTTTAAGACGTGATTGAGCTTCATTCACTTGGCTTCAATCGCTGACTGACTCAGTTTGAGTTTCAGTCACTGTGTTCATCTTTCAGTGCATAGACTTAGGTTTATCTTAGGTTTATGGAACAGGAAGTTGTATCAAATCTGTTATTGTCTTGTCTTGTCCTCACAATAAAAATGTTTCCAAGTACAGTAAAACTTGTGTATAGTGAACATTTTTTTGCCAAGAAAAAACGTTCACTGTAGGTAGGTGTTCACTAGAGATAGGGTGATTTATACAGAAGTCAGTGGACTATGTGCGTAGGAAGGGTGTCCACTAGGGACAGGTGTTCACTAGAGAGAGGTGTTCACCTAGACAGGTTTTACTGTATTTACTTATAAAATTTGTATAAATTGTCACAGGAAGTTGTATCAAGTCCTTTTTGGGCCTTGCCCTTCCCCAATCTCAGAACAGATGTATTCCTCATACATCTGTTCTGAGAGTGGGGAAGGGCAAAAAGCGCTGTTAGGCACAAAAGGACTTGATTACAACTTCCTGTGTAAATTGTACCATGGGCTTTCAATTAGAAATTCTAGTTGAATGCCCATGATTGTACAAATTTTAAAATATCAACAGAATCGCTACAAGTCTATTAGTTTTTGAATTATAGCAAAATATGTAAAATGACACATAAAATTACGGCAATTTTTTAAGATAGTTTACAATTATCCCATGCCAGGACTATAGTCCTGAGAACGTCTCTATCTTTTGCCTGTACGATTACAACATTGGAGAATTTTCTGCGCCTCTTACACTTAAGATACCTACTTAAATAGATTCCTTGGTATTTTAGCATTCTTTTTGTGTAGAAGTTGAATCCACAATAACAGTGTGGGAGGTCTGGATTGATTTATTTCCTGGGTTGTGATGGCCATCAGTAGGGAGGTCGCTGAACTGTTAAATTGTCTTAAATCTTCTAAGTTGCTTTAGAACCAACCTCTGCATTCAGTGTAGTGTAAATAGTCAATATTAATTCTCTCTTATCTCAACTATTTTAGGTGAATATAAAATATTAAGCAGTTGTATAGGTCAGATTCATGTTGAAGATGGCCAGTTCTGCAGTACTAGAGCGCCTCGCTGCAAGGTCTTCCCAAGCAGATCAGATTATTAAAGATTTGACAGATAAGATTATGGATTTGCGACAGTCTGCAGGTAAATGATACTTACATTCCTCCAGTTATTCTGCCTCATTCTGCCATGGTTTCCATGGTCAAAGTAAATAGTTTTTCAAAATTGTAAGACTAAATGTGGTAAAATGTAGTACAGTCTGTAAGTGAAAATAACTTTTGAATTTTTGGGATGGGATGCAGTTTTGTATCAAATAGATGATGTCAAAATTGGAAAAAACTCTCGAATGTATATTCCAGTTGCTGAAGCGTGTAAGAAGGAAGAGGAAAGCTTACGTCGAGAAAATGCAGCCCTCAGAAGTGAAGTAGATGCCTTAAGGAAGCAACTATGCCAAGCTGAATCTAGAAATGGAAGTGAGTGAAAAACATTTAAAAATGCATTTAAGGCCATGAAGGCTGATGGTGAGTATCTGGAGAATCGAATAGTGTAACAATGGAATACAAGGCTTTTCAGTTTTTAATTTAAATTGTTCATAAATGAAACAGGATTCGATGTAAAGTTGATGGGATGATATCACTCAATCTTCAAGAAACTGATGAATTAAAATGTCTTTTGTAGGGAGACAAATCACACTTCCATCCCAGCCTGCAAAGGTTAATGTACCAACTGTAGTCCTGGCAACAGCAGACAATGCAACTGGAGAACCATCTAATGAAAAAACATCTGTTGAGAAACCTAAACAAGAGAAGAAAAAGAAAGAAAAGAAAGGTACTTTGAAATTGAAAGTCTGGGTCAATCATCAGCCAGTACATACCTTCATCTTTGTTTTTATCACACTTTTCAAAAGTGCTACATTGGCATTGTCCAGTGCTGATGGGCCGGGGGTCTGATCTGAGTGTCTGAGCGAGCAGCCATAAATTTTGTCATCAAGATTCCAGGAAAATTGCTTAGTGTACTGAGTCAACTTAAAATTTTTACAGATACAAGAGCAAACTAGTGCCAAGATCTGATTAGGTTTTGGGCATGCTGGGTAAATTACATGTTGGCCATTTTGAATTTTTTTGAAAAAAGTGTGATAATCATCACTGTGTGTTCTGTTGAAGTTATGTTATACATTTTTACATTTTAAAATCTTCTGATTAGATTAGATTGTAACAAGGTGCCAACATAGACTAACAACCTTTGGATTAATTTTGTTTTTATTTGACCTTGTAGAAGCAAAACCTAAAGCACCAGCTGAGGGGGCCCTGCCTGTGGATATCTCCAGGATGAACATAAAGGTCAGTGGTTACATTATATACCGGCAAAAGATGACTTCATGAGACATGGTATTAGAGCAATGATTATCCCAACTAACAAAGTTAAGTAGGGTTAGGGAAAGGCAGTCCATCTGTCCATCCATTTGTTCATCTGTCCAGTAATAACTGGGTACATACATGTTAATCCGGTATTGGATACATTCATGTATGTTGGTTGGATTCAATGAATTCTACCCAGTTATTTTGTTGCACTTTGCTATATACAAAGCGTGAAAAAAAAATTAATAAACCATATTATAACATACCTATGATGATGTATAGTGCAAAGTGTACACAAGACAGCGGGCCAATATAAGTTTTGAAAAGCCCGCGCCCGCTAATTTTCTGATTGGTCAAGGCGCTGACGTCATAACCAATCAATCGAAGATAAAACTGCGCGAGCAATTTTTCTAAACTCATTTCAATCATTTTCAAACCATTTGTTTGTCAATTCTATAAGAAAACGGTACTCTCTGACCAGTCTACATCAGCTTAGGTATGTTATAAATCGTTTATGTCACTATCGTGGCACATATGCCCTCAGTGCTCAGAGATCAATGTCCCTCCCAAGGTCGGGCCATATATCACTGAGACCTCGGGCATATATGCCACGATAGTGACATAACCTCTAATGATAGCACTGTTCAAATATGAACCACAGGATGAGTCTCTTGTCCAACTATGTACCACATGATAGCATTGTTGCTCAAAAACTGACCAAAACTGATCCCTCACTCAATTTCCAGGTTGGTCAGATAGTGAATGTAAAAAAACATCCAGACGCTGACAGTCTTTACATTGAGGAGGTCAACCTTGGAGAAGAGAGGAACAGGACCATCATCAGTGGACTTGTTAACCACATCCCTATAGAAAAGGTAAGCAAAATGTATTATTTACCACATCCCTATAGAAAAGGTAAGCAAAATGTATTATTTACCACATCCCTATAGAAAAGGTAAGCAAAATGTATTATTTACCACATCCCTATAGAAAAGGTAAGCAAAATGTATTATTTACCACATCCCTATAGAAAAGGTAAGCAAAATGTATTATTTACCACATCCCTATAGAAAAGGTAAGCAAAATGTATTATTTACCACATCCCTATAGAAAAGGTAAGCAAAATGTATTATTTACCACATCCCTATAGAAAAGGTAAGCAAAATGTATTATTTACCACATCCCTATAGAAAAGGTAAGCAAAATGTATTATTTACCACATCCCTATAGAAAAGGTAAGCAAATGTATTATTTACCACATCCCTATAGAAAAGGTAAGCAAAATGTATTATTTACCACATCCCTATAGAAAAGGTAAGCAAAATGTATTATTTACCACATCCCTATAGAAAAGGTAAGCAAAATGTATTATTTACCACATCCCTATAGAAAAGCTAAGCAAAATGTATTATTTACCACATCCCTATAGAAAAGGTAAGCAAAATGTATTATTTACCACATCCCTATAGAAAAGGTATGCAAAATGTATTATTTACCACATCCCTATAGAAAAGGTAAGCAAAATGTATTATTTACCACATCCCTATAGAAAAGGTAAGCAAAATGTATTATTTACCACATCCCTATAGAAAAGGTAAGCAAAATGTATTATTTACCACATCCCTATAGAAAAGGTAAGCAAAATGTATTATTTACCACATCCCTATAGAAAAGGTAAGCAAAATGTATTATTTACCACATCCCTATAGAAAAGGTAAGCAAAATGTATTATTTACCACATCCCTATAGAAAAGGTAAGCAAAATGTATTATTTACCACATCCCTATAGAAAAGGTAAGCAAAATGTATTATTTACCACATCCCTATAGAAAAGCTAAGCAAAATGTATTATTTACCACATCCCTATAGAAAAGGTAAGCAAAATGTATTATTTACCACATCCCTATAGAAAAGGTATGCAAAATGTATTATTTACCACATCCCTATAGAAAAGGTAAGCAAAATGTATTATTTACCACATCCCTATAGAAAAGGTAAGCAAAATGTATTATTTACCACATCCCTATAGAAAAGGTAAGCAAAATGTATTATTTACCACATCCCTATAGAAAAGGTAAGCAAAATGTATTATTTACCACATCCCTATAGAAAAGGTAAGCAAAATGTATTATTTACCACATCCCTATAGAAAAGGTAAGCAAAATGTATTGTTTACCACATCCCTATAGAAAAGGTTAGCAAAATGTATTATTTACCACATCCCTATAGAAAAGGTAAGCAAAATGTATTGTTTACCACATCCCTATAGAAAAGGTAAGCAAAATGTATTATTTACCACATCCCTATAGAAAAGGTAAGCAAAATGTATTATTTACCACATCCCTATAGAAAAGGTAAGCAAAATGTATTATTTACCAAATCCCTATAGAAAAGGTAAGCAGAATGTATTATTTACCACATCCCTATAGAAAAGGTAAGCAAAATGTATTATTTACCACATCCCTATAGAAAAGGTAAGCAAAATGTATTATTTACCACATCCCTATAGAAAAGGTAAGCAAAATGTATTATTTACCACATCCCTTTAGAAAAGCTAAGCAAAATGTATTATTTACCACATCCCTTTAGAAAAGCTAAGCAAAATGTATTATTTACCACATCCCTTTAGAAAAGCTAAGCAAAATGTATTATTTACCACATCCCTTTAGAAAAGCTAAGCAAAATGTATTATTTACCACATCCCTATAGAAAAGGTAAGCAAAATGTATTATTTACAACATAAATTGACAAAGTGAGTAAGAGAGCAAAAAACAGAATGAACATCCTCTGATGTAATTTTTTATCAAATAAATAACAGACTTTATCCTATGCCAAGTAGAGTTTTAGTGAGATAAGTTGGTAAGATATATCCTGTATCCTGATTTTGAGGTTTCCATATCCAGAACCTCCATATCTCCCGCTTCGGTGCATATCTTCCCGCTTCCGGTGCATATCTTCCCGCTTCCGGTGCATATCTTCCTGCTTCCGGTAATGCAATAAAATGACTTTGCATATGAATGATTTGTATATTTTTACACCTTGTACTATTGAAATGGTCATATGCCCCTGAAAACTCAACTTGGTATAGGATAAAGCAGTTATGTACGGTCCGTTTGGATATAGGGTTCATCCCTCGTGAGATATGCACATCTACCTTCGGTCCCTCAGGTAGATATGCATATATCCCTCTGGAAAAACCCCATATCCGAAACCTCCCAGTACATAACCCTTATATATGTACTCGGCATATGGTGTATGGTGAGCTAAAAATTCTTACCATTATTATCAAATTGGGTAACATTCTTTGGCTCACCCTGTGTCTACTTTCTCTTCTCTCTTTAGATGCAAGATAGAATAGCTCTGTTTATGTGCAATCTGAAGCCAGCAAAGATGCGAGGTATTCTCTCAGAGGGAATGATAATGTGTGCCAGCACCCCAGAAAAGGTGGAGATCATTGATCCTCCTGCAGGAAGCAAACCTGGAGACAGGGTCATATTTGAGGGCTATTCAGGTATAGTACATCTTTTTGGCTCACCCTGTACATCTACATAACTTCTATGTGAGATCAGAAACTGATAGGTTTTATCAGACATATAGTAACAATAGCTTTGTCTCATAGTATTATGACTTACCATTTGTTACAGGCATCAAATGCCTAACACCAACAGTTCAACACTGTCCACAAACATGACAAAAGAATTGGAGACTATAACAATATATCACCACTTCTGGTGTACATCATAGGATATGTCCCCTGTTTGCCTTTAAAGTGCCCGATAAAGTATAAAATGCGCATGCGTCCAGGTGTTGATAAACTATAAATAGCGAAAATCCAGGGTTTGTCACCACAAGGTAAGCCAGGACGTGTTGAGAGAACAGCTTGTGTTGATATTGAATTTATATGTAGCCAGATAAGTTTCCTTATTGAAATTACATATGGTTATTAGCAATACTTTGTAGGTGCTAAATAATAAAATATTTAGAGTATATATGAGAGAAATTGGTCATTTCGAACCTGTTGAAAAGTTTGTGGCTCTCGGCTACACCGGGGAATTTACTTCCATGAGTACACACATAAATGTGGGGTTCCCCAAGAGGTACGCAACAAGGTGACCTGGCATCAAATGTGCGACTAAATTCTACTATCGAGAAGATAAAATAACGAATACGACAATAAGTTATTGCATGTGACAATTCGGAGCCTTCATCTCACTGAAGTATTTTGAAGTGAAAATAGGATTTTTGTTTTGATACATGGATTCAGATGAACGTAACTTTATTCTGACAACTAATCAAAACTAAACATTTTTAATTGTACGTAACAGACAATTTATTGTTTTACAATGTTTTGATTGGCTAAACGAATGAAACCAACAAATTATGACATGTAAAATGACAATTTTGAAGTGACAAACACAACCTCCCTATCCACCCTTTGGGAGCCCTAGTAAATTAGTAATATGTACATGCAGCAGTGGTAGTGTGCAGCTTATTATCACACTACGCTTTGTATTCTAAAGCCTGTTGTTTGTAATAACACTGTTCACTCAACGTATGTTTTGTGTGTGGGCAGTCAACGATAATCATTGTTTTATCCCGGTTATATGACCTCGGCAATTATAACAAAACCGTACTAAACGAAAAAACGCAAATAAGAGAAAGCTTTCACACACATATAAAAAATGAACTAGTCTAATCCGCCAGTATAAACTCTGTGCTATACGTAGCCGGGTCAGGCGCACACTTTAAATCTAAATAATCTGAAATAGGTCACTCATTAGTTGTCACTAGGATCATCAATTTTATTTTCAGGCACCCCTGATGAGATGTTGAAACCAAAACAGAAAGTCTGGGAACAAATACAGCCAGAGCTTCATATCAATGGAGAGAGTGCTGCCACCTATAAGGGGACCCCATTCCAAGTGGAGGGCATTAAGGGATTCTGTAAAGCCCAGACAATGACAAACTGTGGTATTAAATAAGAAAGGACTGACTAGAGATAAAAAATTCCCATCTTAAGGCTGCTGTTCGGACATCAATTTACTGTCAGATGTGTTGCATGAAATATTTTCAAGCTTTACATTGTCAGAAAAATTTCAAAATAAAACAAAATATGTCATGATAATTGTTTCTTTTGTGACTTAAAAAACTTGTTCAAGGTAATATTTTGAAATAAGACCTCTACTCGAGCTGGAATTTGTAATACGGCATGACGCTACACCATCAGATCAAAGGTATGGATTTTCTCAAAATGAGACAATAGTATTATTTCCATCATGTTATGTTAAGAATGATGACTGATTTGTTCAATTATGTTTTGTCGGTGGGAATTGCTACTCTGGGGGGGGGGTTCTAGTTCAGTTTTTTATCACTAAAATTCATCTCGTAATGAACTTATCCAGTTTTGTCAGTGAGTTAATCAAATGAGTTCAAAATACGTTTGTGTCTTCATTGGGCACCCAAAAATAGTTTATCTTTAGAATAATGTTGGAACTTTCAATAGGGTCCCTTCCACACAGTGTTCAAGGTCATTATTCTAAATATGATTTACTCTGCATATACTTGTATATGAGAAAGCACAATTGGTCGGCAGTAGTTTTAATTATATTGAAAAAAATTATAAAAAGAAACCCAGTCTCTCGTATTATCATAATAAACAAAAATCTTTCATTTTAGTATGTATATTTACCATCTTTAATAATAATATACATATTTATTTAGGAAATGTTTTACATGACAAAAATTTTAAGACATAAGTTTTGTGGCCAGAATTTAAGCACATACAATCTTTACACAAGAGTGCTTAGTTTCTCAACATAAATAAAATGCACATTAATTTACAGTCTATAATACATTGCTACAAAAATAGATTTAATTAATTACTTTCGTTGACCTTTGACCTTATATGGCACAAGTATCAAACAATATACAATATTAAATATTTAATTCCATCCCCTGTTTAACATATTCAGTTAAATCGTTAAGCCAGACACCTCTATTAGCTTAACAACTCTATTAGTTCTACACTCGTTTGCCTGTTGATCCTGAACCGTCACCATCTTGACTGCTATATAGCTTTATAAGGTTTTGTTAAGTTTTTGATGAGATTTTAGGAGATTTGTATATCCATAAGGACTTTCTTCCACTGGATGACACATCTTAATTTTCTGCACAATTAAGGCCAAGATTTTTAAATTTTCTGAAAATATCAGGCTAAATCCCTATGAACAGACTGTTTAGTTAAGTTGATTGACTCTTAAAGATCACATTGTCAGATTGTTAAGGTTAAATCCTTATCAGTGTGTCAACAAGATCAACCAGTTGAATACCAATGAAGTTTTACAAATAGTGTTATTCTCATGCTAAATAACAACGTAAAATATTTTAATTTTTAATGATATAGGTACTAGTACTACTTACAGAATCAACTGACTTTGTCATAAGCATTCTTTTCTGTATTGACAGTTAAAAAGATTGAAGATGTAGAAATGGAACATTCCACTTAAAAATTGAAAAAGGTGTGAGCAGTTTTTTCAATTTGGATCCTTTACTGCTTCCAAAGAAGATTCAGAATTTTTTATTTTTTGTCTATTGATCATGTACATGTAAGTCTACGGATCGTGTAAGTGACATACCGTTATTAATTAAAACACACTTAAGGTTTATTTGGGATAAGAATTACATCTTGAGCCTTTTAATAAATGGAAAATAAGTCAAAAGACTGTCAGTTTTCTCTGTTATATGTTATATGTAGTGGTATTCCAGCCTGACCAAAACCACTAATGCCATCTATTTTTCATAAAGCAAGTCTTCTCTTGGCTGACATATTTTATTGTGTCATTGTCTTAACTTGCCATTGGCTGGCCTCTACCATCATGTGTCACTACCACAAGAACATATTGTATTATCATGTGTCACTACCACAAGAAAGCATTGTACTGTCATGTGTCACTACCACAAGAAAGCATTGTACTATCATGTGTCACTACCACAAGAACGTATTGTACTGTCATGTGTCACTACCACAAGAAAGCATTGTACTATCATGTGTCACTACCACAAGAAAGCATTGTACTATCATGTGTCACTACCACAAGAAAGCACTGTAAGCTGAATACCAAAGAAAAACCTTTCAATCCTAATGTGTTCAACCTAATTTTAGGTTTTAGCATTACTGTACAGTGTACATATATTATTGCTAGATTACCTTGAACATTAAAAAAAAATCTATGTTGAGAAGCACTATCATGTACAGTTTTAATTGATCATTGTGATGAAAGAAAGTCTAAATTTTAGTTAATAACTAAATGAAACATAAAGTGCCATTAAATGGTACTTTCTTGAGCCAATATGTTAACTATAAGACTGAAAGAACAATTTAGTATTATAAGATTGACTACCAAATAAAGTCAATTAATACAGTTCAACCAGAGTACGGAATTTTCAGTGCTCACTTAAACCCATCTAGACAACAATGAAACTTGATGACATCACATACAACAAGGCATTAACATGCAAAATGTCACCACCCTCCATTCACTACAGATGCTGAACTCCGAGCACAAACTTCCAGATGCCTTTACAAAAAAGTTGGAGACTATAACAATATGTCACCACTTGGGTTGGTGGTGAAAATGAAAAGGGCGTCATCATTAAATGATGTCAGTCAATACACTATCCAAATATAGATTTTGGAACACTTTTTCTTATTTCTTAATAGTCTACTGGGTGTCCAGAAAGTAAAGACCATTTGTATCTTTACTTCTTGGACAACCTGTACATGGCCATATTATGCCACATTAAATGTGTGCAATATTGGAACATGGAAAATGTGATCCTCTTATTTTGAAAGCACTCCTATGATGTACAAACCTGAATAGTGAATTTCCTTGTGTAGAGTATCCAATGCATTAAACAGTAGTATGTATATATATCATCTTTGACTTTGTTATATTGTTACCATTCAAAAGATGACCATCGCAAAGATAATGTGTGATTTTCAATATTTATCGATAACTGGTTTAGCTTAAAAATGTTGAATTTAGTTATAAACCCACAACCAGTTCTTTCAATTTTTCCCTTTTCCTTGCCTATTTGGTAATTATTGACAAAAACAAATTCCATATTTGAACGATTCGTAGAGATGCAAAGTTGGGTTTCTCAAAATCTGAAGGCAATTAATAATTGCTATTAAAGTACACCACTGTTTTATGTAAAGGCAAGGTATCAGCACAATACGATTCAAGGATTCATCATATTTGAAAAAGTAATTCCAAAATTAGAGTACTGCATTTTTCTGTCAGCCATGCTACATAAATGACCATGAAATAAAAATGACAGTGTAAGTATTACACATAAGGTATAACCATCTGTGGAGCTCATCGTATATTGCACATATGACCATACAATGGAGCACGTCATGCTTGTATTAAGTGTAAACTATTATAATTTTCTGCAAAATCAATATCATACAATTTACTACAATTTCTTTAAGGCAGAGTTCAATCCAAAATGCTCTTCAACATCAAAGTCCAAAACAAGTAGTTTGGTTTCCTCCGTGCCATTTCTCGATCCAACTGCACATACAAGTTTTGTATTACTACACCTCACACGCCAAACTACCCCTCCGCTTCCCCCACTGTCCAAACTAACGAGATTTCGTACAAATTCACCGTTTTTCAAATCCCAAATTTTGACAGTTCCATCATCTGAAGAAGTGATGACAAATTTTCTGTTGAACTGTAGGCATGTCACAGCACTCTGGTGCTTGTTGGTGCCTGCAAAAAAACAAATCAAATTTTCTCAAAATTATTTTCAAACTTTTTGAGAAATTCAGTATATGAGCCCCGCCATAGGAAAACCGGTCTTATCACAAAAATTGAAACTGTGCTAGAGAGCCAAAAATGTGCCCAAGATTAAGAGGAAAATGTGCTAAATTCAAATCCATGTTTTGGTCTATATCTGCGAGGAAAAATTTATTAGACATAAGCCATGGGACATTTGAAAGGCCTCTTTGTGCTTTTTAAGAAAAACAATAAAATCAAAATATTGAAAAAATCTGTGATAAGACCAGCTTTCCTGTGGCCTGGCTCATATAGTAAAGTACATTTATAACTAATTTTTTTAATTTCAACCCTAATAACTGTAGAAGCAAAAGTGTCACTGCCAGTGCCTGGTATATCTATTACATGTATATACAGTAAAGGAAATGCCACTGTAGGTGGAACACTCTGAAAATGCAACACTTTTCCCCATGACCAACTGACTAAGGCCTTATTGTATTGTATTTTGTTATACCACCAATTAAGGTGAGCAATACCTTTTGGGTATATCCTGTATAGATACAGTCGTAATTTACGTAATTAACAATGAAGATAGACCCAGAAACCCCTCCTTGAAGGAGCCCTTATGTTAAAAAATGAGCCTCTCTAAGTGGAACACCTAAGTGGAACACTTGATAGAGTTACAACGAAGATGTTCCACTTACACAGGTTTTACTGCACATTCCCACTCAAACCCATATTCCATTTCAAGACATAACTACCACCATAATATGATTATTGTCATTTATTGATTTATGACATGTATCTTCATGAGAACAAGCCTCACCTTGTAATGTCTGTAAGCATTGGCCAGTCAATATATCCCACACTTTAACAGTCGAGTCAGCATTCCCAGATACAAGAATATTGTCTTTAAGTTCCATTCCGCTAGTTAAGGACTGATGCCCTATGAGAGTGTGAAGACAGTTGCCAGTCTCAACATCCCAAACTCTAATTGATGTGTCCAGTGAGCCACTGACAATGTGAGCTCCATCAAACTACAAAACATGTCATAAAGATCATAAGTCCTCATTTAGTATGCAATGTGAGCTCCATCAAACTACAAAACATGTCATGAAGATCATAAGTCCTCATTTAGTATGCAATGTGAGCTCCATCAAACTACAAAACATGTCATAAAGATCATAAGTCCTCATTTAGTATGCAATGTGAGCTCCATCAAACTACAAAAACATGTCATAAAGATCATAAGTCCTCAGTTAGCAGTGCATGAAATAAGGATTTTTTTAACCTAGACATTTTGGCAGGCCAGCCAGATTTTAACCAGCCATATCATTTTTTCTCAGGCCAATTTCTGGCAGGCTGTTTCTTACTTTCCCCCTAGATTCACCTTACAAAAACATGAGGAACATGTACATGTTGATCAAACTAAACTGTACTGATTTTGGTCGGTTAAGAAATGCTCAGAACTCAGGAGCTTCAAGGTATTCAAAAAAAAAAATTTTGGCCAGCAGGCTTCTCTGTCCTTGGGGCTGAGCTGGACATTTAGGCATGATTATCTGAGAGGAAATGTGAACCTAAATCTATCTAGATTTTTATTTCTTTAAAAATCTGAAAACCAGGTGCGAACAAAACTAAGTTGGAGGCATAACGATCCCAGTATTTATTTTACATGTCAGATTATTTTGAGTCATCCCGCAGACAAAAATACATGTTCACATCACAAAACGCAAAATATGACAACACATACTTTGACATACTTTGATATGTATTCATTTAGGCAGTCATTTTGAAATGACTGAGTCATGACTCTAAAAAGTTACATTTCTCCTATTAATATCTACAATATGCAACACAGGAGAAATACTTTGGAGGGAATCACGTTTAATGCCATAAAGGCAAGGCATTAAGCATGAAGAAATTGTATAATGAAATAAATTGTTAATGAATAAAAAAAAGAAATGTGAATTCTAATATTCTGGCAGCCAATGTATGTCAGATTTTTCGATGCAATTTCCATTTTTTCTAAATGTCTATTTTCATCAGAGCCGATAGTAATAACACTGTGTTTTACCTGCAATGAGTAGACCCTGTTTGTGTGGCCCTGTAAAGTGTGTAAGCAAGTCTCAGTATCTGGATCCCAGATCTTCACCATATAGTCATAGGCGCCACTGACGACTCGTCTCCCGTCATACTGCACGCAGCGCACTGCCGCCACATGGCCCATGAGGACATGTAAGCACTGACCTGAGTCTATGTTCCACATTCGTAAAGTAGCGTCCCTAGAACCACTGACAACACTGGAAATGGAAAACCATTGCAATTTATTATTACATAGTACTTGGTGCAAATGATAAGCACCTGAGAAAAGACAATTACTTTTGATCTGAGCCAGATCAGATTAGTTTTTCAGCACGTATAGGAGAATATAACAACTGGTCAGTCATTAAAATTTGATTTGCAGTTCTGAATCTAAAGCGCACACCTGACACATCCTAGCATGGAGTCAGATTATTTATTTGAGGAGTGTGGAACTGGAATAAGCATCTAAAAAATTTAGATCCAAATTTAGACAGACTGATGTTTGTTAAACCCAAGACTGATACATAAACGAGCCCATGTAATAATCAAAAATTGTAAACTTACATATTTTCAAACAGATGCATACATCTAACTGTTGAAGTGTGACCATAAAGGGTATGTGTACATTGACCAGTGTCAGCATTCCAGACTTTGAGAGTTCTGTCAGTTGATCCACTTATTATAACATTTCCTTGCATTTGCGATGACCAAACACCCCCTGTATGACCAACTAAGGTACGTAAGCACTGAAATACAATAAATTGAATATACATTAATTGAATATACATGCAATTGAATGTACATTTAATAAAACCCAATGTGGTCAACTTTGGCCACAAATGCAAAACAATGAAAACAATGAAACTTGTATACAAAAGCATTGGAAATGATGGGAATGGTTTACTTATTGAGTATAAAAGTTCCACATAATCAGATTGCAATCACCGAAAAGGAGCATTATATTTTACAGGAATACCTGTGAAACAGAGACCAGTATTCATAGTGGCCAAATTCCTTCTTTGTGGATGGATGTGCCTTATCGAAATTTATGGTTGAAATATTCTGACCTTTACTTAATCTATTAAATTAAAACGCATGTGTTCTGCAACATACAACAAAAATTTGCGATCCTTTTAAATCTTAACTTTGAGTGTACAAATGCTTGAAGAACCAGAAAAAACTATTTTTCAAAAACTCAGTTTTTCTAAAACAAATTCTTGATAAAAACATATTTCCAAACTTTGCATAGTTTCTTTAATGAGGAGTACTCACTTTTCCAGTTAAGGCGGACCAAACTTTTAGTGTGTTGTCATCAGATCCACTCACAATACGATTGCCACAGAACTCCAGGCAGGTAATTACATGGTCATCATGTCCTTTCAATACCTACAACAAAAAGAACTTTATTGTTTAATGTTTTAACAAGAATTCCCACTGACAAGTGCCATTGGGAGAACACAAAGCACACTTATCTCGTACTTCTTTCACTCAAATAATCTTATGTATTAAGTATCTTATACACAGTAAGCAAATTTTAAATGTCATTTTACATAAGTTTTTTAAAGCATTTTAAAGCCTAAATCAGAATTTTATACAACATACAATGTCAATGTGGTGTTGGATCTAGTAAAGGATTCCTCTCATATTTTCAACAGGGAAAACTGTTGTTTTACTTCAGACTTTTGACATTAATTGGAGACATTTTACAATCACTTCTGAGTTAACAATTACTCAACCAAACATACCTTTGGATTTTTCACTGAACCCGTACGCCAGTTTTGTTCAATTTGATGCTGTCGCATATAAAGCGCCTTATATGGGCATGGAGCTTTTGGAGAGGACACAAGAGGTGACAAGGATTTCCTCCGTACTCTAGGCCCAAAAACTAGCGCCTCATCTATATTTTCTTGGTTGCACTTTTCCCGCCAAAGTAAATTGTCCTCTGCTAGAATACGCCAATAGCGACAAGTCTGAGCAGCTTGGAGTAAATCTTTCGGATCCAAGAATGATAAAACATATAACGCCAACTGAAAGAAAAATGCCATGGTGGTTGTTAGTTAAGTCAAGACTTAGCAAATATAAAAAATAAGCAAAGATCCCTCTTAACTGTTAAAATGCTTTTTAAGCGAGAGATAATTCATAAAAAAGAAACTAGTTAAATAAATGAAAAACATGGTATGCTCAATATTTCAACTGACATCATGTAATATAATTAGCAACTACATTACAACATAATAAATTGATGATCACAACAATCTTAAGAACCAGTTATGTAAAATAGGAAATGTCTCTCATTACAAATAGTAATAGATATTTCAATTTTGTATTTTCTGGTTTCATGAACTCTAGCTAATTCAGAATTTTGACGATTGACAGGTAAAATTTTCTGAAATGTCAAATACACAATTTTTTACGATCTGTGAATTTTCTTAAAGATGCATTATGCCATAGGTTTCTCCCCCAGACAATCAATAATGTCCTATTGTTATTGCTCATATAATAGCTCACATACCATGGATATATCTTGAGAATAACTTTTGGGTATATTATTGCCGAAATATCGGAAATAATCAACAGAACAACCAAACTCCAGAATTTACACAATAGATTCCTCGGCTAGCGACGGGAATCCCCATTGAGTCACACAAGCAGTGTAGTCATTAACGGCCTTCCCGGCGGACATTGTCCAGTAGATTGAGCCCCGGTCCGGCAATGTTTTCAAAAGTACCGGTCATTTGGACCAGCATGATATTTAATCGCCTACCTAGCGGTAGAATTCATGTCCGTGCTGTTATTCTCCAAATAATTTGAGTTGTCGATGATTAAATCGCCAGATTTAAGAAATTAACAAGAATTCATAAAAACATTTTTTTGTTTTTAATTTTTTTCTAAGAACAACCGTTTAGAAACCGGTATAGCGAAATGATACATTAAATTACCGAACGTACAATATAAAATGTTTCGAAAGTCGATATAGCGAATCAATTTCTAGCTAGTTTTAGATTGCTTCTGGTATGGTTACATTCACTGTGACATTTGGCTCAATATCTTGGATATCCTCCATGGATTCCAAGGATTCCACTAAGATCAGAGAAGCACTTTTAGTCTTCTTTGTCTTAAATCAGTAACATTAAATCAAGGGGTCCTTAAAAGGTCCTCAATGGCCACATTAAGTTCATTCTCCGAGTCATAGTCATTGTCAGTGTCATCAAATTCATCACAACTGTCATAATCAGAGGCTACATGTTCTTCAGATCATTTATTTAATGATACTGATTTAATTTTAAACATGACTCATAAAACAATTTGTTGATATATTGTTCTTTATTGTTTAACGAGATTTTGATTGACCAGTCACATTTCATACGGACCAGGGACTTTTTTGAGGTGCTGGTCATTTTGTCCAGCCTATTTTGATACGGACCACTTAACTTTGAAGATCAACAGGTCCGTATGACCAGTCTCTTTTTCCCCCTTAATGACTACACTGCACACAAGCGCCCACAAGCACCTTGAACCAGGCAGTCAATCAGGTTTGTGATAAACAAATTCAACGATCAATCAGGTAACAGGAGGACTTTCCCGGTATATTCAAACTTCAGATTGAATTAATTTCTTCGAAAATAATTAGATCGGCCAGCACAATCGCAAAATTAACACTGAAAGAGGGGGATTTGGGACTTCATCTTTGGTAAGTAGATGGGTATATATGTGGTGAAACTCAATATGCAAAAAAGTCCAGAGGGGTCTTGATTGTGCTATCCTATGGCATAGAGCCTCTTTAAATTAACACTAATTAATAGAAAATTCAACATTTAATTATCAGTTAAAGTTACCTCTTTTGGTAATAATGAAATAAAGTCTCGTTGAAATTGAGGTTCTATAACAGCCATCATGTGTCGAACTTGAGTCGGGTCACACTGTTCTATAAGTTCATCTAATGCCAACAATCGCTCCGCGTTGCTCCAGCCCTGTAGGATGTTAATAATACAGAATATTATAATTAATTGCATTTTTATAAAGGCCAATGTTCTCTCTGGCAATAGAGTAAGTGGGTGTCGCACCAACTTGAGATTTCGAAAACAGGTTTATGCCTACTTGAAGACTTGGAAAGGAGTTTTCGTTGAAAAAGAGGTTTTCACCATGTCAAATTTTTCTTTTTTAGTTGTATACCTCAATATCACAACGATTTCATAACAATTATAAACAAGGCATTAACATGCAAAATGGCACCACCTGCCATTTGTTACAGATGCCGAATGCTGAAGATAATCCACAAAAAGTTGGAACTCGTAATATTATGTCACCACTTCTGGTGGTGACATCAAATCATCTGGGTTGAATAAAATAAACTGACCTGAAAGACCTTAAGCCAATGTGCAAGTTCAGGAGGTGGGTTTTGTTTAGATGGGATCCTTCTCCTTGGAGTACTAGTTGAGGCCCCACTTGTTTTTATTGTGCCAAATGTCCGCATTGTCGGATCACTAAACATAGAGACATACATCATTCAATTAATGACTTGCAATAAAGTTATGTGTTAAATATTATGCTTATTAGAAGTAAATTTCAGAATCTTCTATGATGAAAAAAAATGGTAAAAGGATACGTTCCAATTGTGACAGTAAAGTGAACGCTAAGTCTGTACTGCAAATGACAGATCTTTTTGAAGTGATAACAGATAACACTAAATTTAACAATACAGTGTATTGTACATGTGTCAAATGTTTACCTTTGCTGCAGATGACATGGCTTTTTCTTCAGTATAACATCAGGATATTGCTCGCTCTTCCTTTTCATCTGAATTCAAATTGATTTTAATCATATAGTGACAGTGTTAGGTCTAGTGGGGGTCCTAGTAGCCTATATCTCATAAGTTATATCCAATACATTATACTCATAGCTTATCCCAGATACCTTTTCTCATAACTTATATCTAACAGCATATGTCTCATACCTTATCCCTCATACAAGCTTTGTATCTGAACAAGGCAGTGGTTTAAAAATTGAATTACAAGATAAGCAAATAACTATCTGAAAATTGGCCAGGTAACTATTTTGGAATAGAACATGCTAATTTCAAGGCCTGGAAAAAGTGCTTTGTTATTATTCATAAATTAAGTAATAATGTTGACCACTTCACTAGGAGTGCTGTTTATAAGTGCACTCATATTTCAGTGATCTCTCCGGTATTTTTTTTTCAGGTGGGTGCAAAACTCTCATTTTCACAATTCAGACCAGAATTGGTCAAAATATGCCAATTTTTCATGGTTTTTCTCATTTTCAAGTGGATGCAAATAGATTTTCAGGTGGTTGCAAACCTCTTTTCAAAATCTCGGGTGGGTGCTGCGCCCACTTGCTTTAATGTTGGAGAGATCACTGTATTCAAAATAATTGGCAATTTCTACACTCTACATTGGCTACTTACAAAATGTTTGCCTATTGCTTGAGATAAGACGGGAACTGGAATTCGTGATCTCAATTTGAACGGAGACGGAGATGAATTTAATACAATCTTCCTGCCAGCCTCTATTTCATCTTCAGTATCACTTTCATCCTCTGATTCGCTGCTAGCATCAAAATTGTCAAATGGAGGTTTATATGGATTCACGACAGGTGATACATAACTGTCCATTGTTTCTTTCTTTAGTGGACATACTGTACTTTCAAGTGAATTATTACTGCTGCAACTACTTGAGCTTGCAGAAGGCTCTGTCTTTATTTTTGAACACAATTTGATCCAGTCTCTACTTTCAGGGGCTTCAGGTTCATTACCATGACAACGGAGCCTCATTCCCGGCTCAGATTTAATTTTCAATTGTTCAGTTTGTGGCTGTCTTGAGCGTGTTGTCCCTGGCAACCAGTGGCACTCTGGTGAGGCCCCATATAGTGCCACAGTACTTCGAGTTTCCCTGGAAACATAGATAGAAGTTTTGATGACTTTCAGAATATAGATTAAAACTACAATTTTGTTCTTATATTGAATAATACACAATTCTGAATTAGATCAAGCAAAAATTCCTACTTTTCATATTTTACTTCAGGCTCCTGAATTCAATCTAAATATCTGAGCAAAAAGTAAGAGACACAAGTCTTACCTTTCACATTTTGAGCGTGGAGTCTTAATATTAGCGGGCATGCTACATGATAGCATGCTTCTATTGGGGTCCACTACACCAGGCCCAATTCCTGGAACCTTGATCAAGTCACATAATGTCTGGAACCCTCCAACTTTCTGTAATATAAATGTATTGCTATATACTGAAACATATAAATTATTCATGTCTTATCTATCATATGATGGCTTGATTACTCCGGCTTTGTTATTAAAATGTCTGAGCCCCTCTTACTTTTTGAAATATGAACATATTACTGAAATGTAAATTTTCACTGCATTTCTGCTTATGTATGACTCATCTATTTTATCAAACTAGCAATGAAAATGGATAATATTGTTTTAATTTATTCTATTTTTAAGAGACTACACAAAATATACAAGAGATGAAAACAAGAAAGAGAACTAAAACAGAGTCTTACATTGCGATGTTCCACGATAGCCTCAGCTTTGCCATGTCCTATGCCTATAAGCCCCTCAAGGTCTTCCACTGTTGCAGTGTTTACATCGATTCTCTGATTTTTTGTCGTCATTCTGCCATGTTTATGACTTCATCTTGTCACAATGTCGAGGGTTTCACTCACTTTAGGTGACAGCTGAAGAACAAGAAATGACTTTAGTTTTTAATTAACTAAAGCTAGGGATGAAGGGGTGATTACTTTTATGCTCCTAGAGAATCATTTTGTTTGTATGTAAAAATAGATTCATACTTTGGTTGATTTTGATTTTTTGGGTTAGGCTAACAGCCTCTTTATTGATGCTTGGTGTTTTCTATGCTTGGTTTTATTTTGAGGAACAATATGATATTTCCCGAGGCCTTGGAAGGTCAGAGGGAAATATCATATTGTCACAAGGAATAAACCAATTTTAATCCTGACCAGTAAATAAGCTTTTTATCTCATGATATTCATGACTGTTTTCAGGAAATTTCATAAGATAGTTCAGAATCAATATGTGATTTTTATGTTACATAAAACCACACTACATTCCTCCTTTACCTCAAATCACTACCAAAGCTACGTTTCTACTTTAAGAACCCAGAACAAAATTCAACATTCGTGCCATAATTCATAAGTGGCTGTTTCGTTTTAGAGTTCCCTCCCCATGATTTAATTATTAATTTTTAAGAAATAAGGGGAGTATTGTAAAATCCAGTTAATTGAAAATTGTCTTGGAGATTAAGTAATCTGTTTATAATGATTCTGAAAACATTATTGAATGTTCAAAGAATGCATGTACAACAGCCCATACAAATCCTTGTATTAAAACTGTTTTGTTTCATTTGGAGGATATTTCATATGCCAAGCTGTGTACTTATACGTTATGGGGAAATTTAGATGTAAATTTTTCCTTATTATACACAAATAGAAGATCCTGAAAATTCACCAAAAAATGTTAAATTGATTTGTCAATAAAAATCTCCCTTTTATAGGTGACCTCGAGGCAGCCTGTGAACCATCGAGTATTATTCTGGGATCGGGCCTTTTGTACTAAACAGTGAGCACCACCAAACATGAGCGTTCGATTCGCTAAATGATATGCGTCACCCTTTAATGATACAGTGATTTCAATAGAAAATCCTCCCGAGATCATTGAGTGGTGTACCTGTACTAATATTCAGCTTACTACTACTTTTCTAGGGGTAACATCCACCAGGTTTGTTTATTGTGATTAGATTTTATTGAAATGTGCTCACGAAATATCTAAATAATCTGATTGGTTTCAACTGACTGTGACGCATGCACACATGTGTCATGTTTTTTTTACAGTCATTTAGTTTCATTCCATGAATTTTTGTTTCAGTATAACTTCCGTAAAAGTTTTGCTTTATTCTTGAGATAAGAGTCTCAGGGGTAAATATGAAAATCCATTTTGGAAGGAGCACTCTATTTAGAATCAAAACTCAAATTCTAGTGAGCAGTTCATATGGTTAAAATAATGAAATGTTACCATGTCTCTACTTATCAGTTTGTTCTATGTCATCCATCCTGCTAGGTTACATTGTGGAAAGCAGCCAAACATGACAATGAAGGCAACAACATATCGATATTGATCTTAGCAGAATTTTGGGAAATTTAGATCGTCCATTTTGCAAGTTCACGTGACTGGTCATGTGACACGTGTCTGATCACGTGACTAGTTACTGTATGGATCATGTGACTTATTGACGTGTCACCCAACCATGTCTTCAAGGAAAATGGTAGTAAATATTTTGGAAAATGTTTTGCAAGCATTTGCTACTGATTATAGAAGAGGACACTCCGAGATAGCAATGTCAAATATTGTAGGGAGGGCTGCTAAAGTCAGTGGGTATTTCAAATCAGTTTTCTTCAACGAAACTGCTAAATTGTATTTTTAGTCTGCTTATTGATCTATTGATTCATAAAGACCTGAAATGATGCATTCAAATAAGACCCCCTCCTAAATGAAAACACTTCACATAAAGTGGTGAAAAACAACGAACTAAAGTTGAAAGATCGCAACGTTCGCTACTTAGTTCAATTCCAGAAATCTCTAAGGGACTGCAAATAGGAGTTTTTTTAGATTTAGATTTTATAACCTCAGAATACTGCCTTGAGTGTCGTGCTTGGCTGAGTTCCACAATGTAACCTAGCAGGATGGTAAGAACAAACTGATAAGTTGACACATGGTAACATTTCATTATTTCGTTATTTTAACCATATGAACTGCTCACCAGAATTTGCGTTTTGATTCTAGTTTGAAGGTCAGCACTGCAAGAGAGACAATGATTATTTCTCAATCACAAAAAGATTCCTGGGTATTCAATGCGAAGTACTAGCATCATGGGATACATCGATGTTATCGGGATGGCATAGACCTAATTTTCTGATCTTGCTCCATCGATTCGGTTGCAATTCCTCTCGACTTTTTTGTCTGTAAGAAACAAACTTTATATGTGATTTGTCCCTTATACAGTTTTCAACTGGTGATATAAGATCCGGTATAATTAGATTGCCCGTCTAGACTAAAAAATAAATGTATAAGACCACAGAAACGTGTAGCACTATGATATGAGATGCTTATACCAGATCTGAGTCAACATTGATTGACTCAGATCTGACATAAGCATCTCATATCATAGTGCTTCAAGTTCCTGTGTATAGCCTAAGACTGAGAAAATTCCGATCCGAAAAAAATGAAAATTCCGATATTTCTAGCATCATTTAGGGACCAATATCTCGAAGGCGGATGAAAATGATTGAGAATAATTAATTATATAAGTAGTACTACTTGTAAATAATTTATTTAATATGTTAAATTGAGCTCACCTTTGTATTCTAACTAGATATACACTGTTTATCTGTATTTTGATTTGTGTTGGAAAATTTGTCTGCCATATTGAATACGGAGATGACGTCATACTCGGGTTTCTCCGTGCATACTACGCATTCGCCATCTTTAAATCAAGTGTAGACTTGACCTGTTGTTTTGTAAGAGTGTGACTCGCGTCATAAAATCGCCCCGCCGGTGTAAAGGGGTAGGTGGTCTAGTCCTCAAATTTTGGTCCTACTCTCTATATTGATTTATATGGTGACCTAATTACAATTTACAATTTTCCTTATTATTTATACACAGTCAGGGCCAGTAAGGGCCGCAAGGAAAGGGGACCATAATCCCCAGGGGACCATAATTTATTTTACACCGCACTACAAAACGGTGAAGATTTTGTATCGGATAGTTATTTCTTCAAAAGTCTCTAATAAGCAAAGCCCAGAATGAAAAAACAGTCATCATGAACCACTGGCGGATCTGGGGGGGGGGGAGGCTTGGGGCCCACCCTTCCCCTTGGGTGGGCCCAGAAAAAGTGGGCTTTTTCGGCCATTACTTGGCCTTGTAAGGCCTTTTTTATTTTTATTTCTTTGCTATAAAATGATCAATCACCCCTCCCCTTCCCCCACCCGGGCTCCCCCATCATCACATGACCCCTGAGCGTCAGCACTGGTAAATTAGACGATCGATGTACCAATCATTAGATAAAGAGCATAAAGAAGGACAAGTCTCAGGCCTTTATTCAGAACGAGATGATTTACTAAGCAAATTCATACTATATTAGAAAGCGCAATCCATCTGAATATGTCGTGTCTCAAATTACCCAGGTTGCCAAACTTGAGAGGTAATCCATGTGTTAATCCACAGCTGGTTATCTAGAAAACCTAGAACGATGTAAACTTGAAAATACACGAGGCGATACATTCTGTTTAAAACTATCAGTAAACGATGTTTTAAAGGTTATATACTTATTACACAATGATATCGGACTCATTTATCTAGTTCCATTTAGCAATTAAACTTAGATTGAGTTTCTGAAGTTCACTTAAGTCGGTCTCTGGGAATCCGCACTGATTAATGTTCCTGTCTTTGTAGTTTACCATGATACTTCCTTCCATTTCTTCCTTGAGATAACAAGTTTGTTGGCTGCTGCTGCAACTGGATGTTGTATGATCCTGAAAGTGTTTAGATAAGGATGTAACAAGGACCATGGATGTATATAATCGGATGAAGAACAAAGCTGAGATGAAAAACATTTAACCAAACTACAGTATGCATCATATGTGATTCAGCAGGGATCAAGGAAAGAGGTTTATCTCCAATTTAAACGTTTCTAAGGATGGTATTACTTACAAGACACGAATAGCCTTTATATTCTATAAAGGTACAGCAGTTTGCATTTCCCATGTTCCTGATTCTAAATTTTCATAAATTAGCTTATATGGGGGGGGGGGGGGGGGGGTTATATGCACACGTGTGTACATAGTTAGCTTTTTGTCTTGGTCAAACCTGAACTTCTATGCCCAGGGGAAGCCTACGACTGACCAGATACATAACACACGTCTCTGATTTGACGTATTTCAGAAGCTGATATTTTATTTGTTTACAATGATATCAAGAGGATTGGCTCCCAGGATCGAACATCGATATTTTCCAACAATGAAAACGTCGAAATGTCGTTATTTTCTGAAATTATAACCGACTATTCAAAATATCAGAAGAATCATACCAATATCTCGGTCATTTTTGTGAGTTTTGGAATTTTCACGATTCGTCACGACATGCCCGTATATGGGACAGAATATCGATGTTGTGCTCTGGGAGCAAATCCTCCTTGCGATTGCAATGTTATGGACTAAGTGATTAAGGGCTTTACCTAGATGTAACTGTTGTTTTAGTTCGTCGTAAGTTCTTTGGTGAAGGAAAGGTCATAGGTTCTATTCAATTTGCAAAAATAAAAGTGTTTGTGTAAGTAATGACAAATATTGATATCGTGTTTTCTACTTTCAGAATATGTTTTACAAATACATACTACGGATGCGCCATTTCAAGTGCTCTATAAAGACATCAGTGTTTGGACTGTTTCTGGTCGCCATAGCAACGGGCTTAGTAACCATACATACAAACGCATCGTATTTGATGAATATGGTCAGACACACAGATCATGCTAATGCAATAAGCGGTCAGCATTTCTCTGGATTCCTTGTGAACACTCCAGGCTGTAAAATCCCAGATATAAACCCATTCGACACAAGCATTCGGCATTTAGTGACGCACGACACTTTGGAATGTGATGGTGCCAAAAGTTTAACATTTACAGAAGGATCCCTTCTTAAAATTAATCGCTCGTTATTAGAGACGACATATTTCAATTTTAGCCATTGTAGTTACCAGGCTATTCAACGCGATGGCAACAACGAAACTGACAGATTATTTCGATATGATCCTAAAATTGTAAAATTCAAAGATGAGGTGAAGCTCAGGGATGAATTTATCCGTGTTGTGTGTCATAATATCCCCGGGAAAATGATTTACACAAACTTCCATGCAGTTGTTTTTGAGAAACATTCCGTCGAGAAAGACTGTGCAGAAACAGAAGCTATGTACAGTAAAACAGCGAAAGAAAAGGCTTTAGAAACATTTAATTTAATCATACTAGGAGTTGACTCGGTCTCGCGACTGAATTTCATGCGACAAATGCCGAAAACACGAGCGTACCTCACAGATGTGCTACAAGCGTTGGAGCTGACGGGTTATAATAAAGTGGCTGATAACACTTACGTCAACCTTGTCCCAATGTTTGCTGGCAAGTTTGTCGAGGAACTCCCGTGGGACGAACGTTACAGTGACATTGCCTTCGATAAATATGAATTCTTTTGGAACCAAGCTCAAAAACGCGGATATAGGACATTGTATGCAGAAGATGCACCCGAAATTGCAATTTTTAACTATGAGAAAGAAGGATTTCACAAACCACCGGCTCATTATTATCTCAGGCCTTTCAGCCTTGCGATGGAGAACCACGGGTCCGTCTGGGATGATACTCATAATTGTGTAGGGGACAAATTGGAGACGAACAAGGTGCTGGATTATGTAAATGATTTTGTAAAATTATTTAAAAATCGCCTCCATCTTGCGTTCGCTTTTATCACGCGTTTAACTCATGAAAATATTAATTTAGTTGGAGTCGGAGATGACGCATATCTGGAATTTTTCAAAACCATACATCAACAAGGTAACCTAGAAAATTCTGTTGTTTTGTTCTATAGTGATCATGGAATACGGTTTGGAAAAATCAGAGAGACGAACGTGGGTAAACTCGAAGAACGTTTACCTTTCTTATACTGGATATTTCCAAAATGGTTCTATAAAAAATATCCTCATTTGGATAAAACTTTAAGAACTAATGCTCACCGATTAACCACTCCTTTTGACATATACGCAACTTTGCAAGATATCATCGACTTTAAAGGAATCACTAAAGTTTATGATAAACCGGTCAGAGGAATGAGTTTATTCAGTGAAATCCCTGTAACTAGGACATGTGAAGATGCTTGGGTTTTTCCCCATTGGTGTACGTGCCAGAAGCAGATCTCAGTGAATAAAACAGATGGTCACGTGATACACGCCGCTAATATGGTGGTCCAATTCATAAATGACCAAACTAGCTCACATAGGAAACTATGCACCCTTTTAAAGCTATCAGCTATTACAGATGCACGAATGACAACATCTAGTGACGAAGTTCTCAAATTCCGAGAGAGTCATAACTCAGTCCTTGGGCGTAAAGTTGACTATGGTTCCCCTGTGAAACCGATCATTCATTATCAGATCATTTTACGCACGTTCCCCGGGGATGCACTTTTTGAGGCCACAGTGAGGTACAGCGATGATGATGGGAAATATCATATCATGGGAGATATCAGTCGGATAAACAAATATGGGGATCAGTCGGCATGCATTTGTAAACATCAACTAAAGAAATTTTGTTTCTGTGGATAATCGTATACGAGTTATCAAATAGTAATTTCAACATATGTTTTGTAAATTTATAGCGTCATTTCTACATCATTTTTACACCAAGCGGTATTTTTGTTTTCTAGCCTAATCCAATAGTAAACTAAACGAAAATCATTAATCATTTGCAAATACTACTCCTTAAAATCGAGTTACATAGAAAAGCATTTCACTTTAGATACAAAGCTGAATTACTTTAATTACTGAGCATTGAGTGAACCTTAGTTGGAACTGAACATTTGCTAACGAAATGACAGCACCATTGTTTTTGACGCTTACGGTCTTTGTCGCTTTCTGGACAAAACATGCTGTCACGGTAGATGTAATTGACTCTTCAAAATTGAGCAAATATGCAGATGAGCACCCTTGTATTATCATTACAACCATAAAAGGAGATAGTATGTCGTGTTACTTTGATAAAGGAAAGGTTTCTGGAGAAAGAATACAAATCAAAGAAATCCCAGACACATGGATTCGATCAACCGCTCAGTTTTTAAGCCGCCGTCTAAGTGTCTATCAGGATAAAGATCACGGATTAATTTTCCTTGGGGATAACACGACATTCTTCCCGCCATTTGTGTCACCATACGGTAGTTTTAAAAGCTTGGCTATATCGTCATCTGACTCTTTAAACAGTCGTCTTCGTAAAGCAGTGCAGTTGGGCAGTAACAATAACAACGCTATTAAGCTCCTCAAAATGGCAATTTCACAATCTGGAAATGATGAATCTAAGACTGGAAATGCACTGGACACGATAGCGTCAGTTGTGGACTTCAGTCGTGCTACGATGGTTGTAGATTTGCCACCAGCGGAGCTACTGCAAGCTTTTAAGTCATTTGGAAAACTATCAAGGGATCTTTACATACCTATTATTGTCATACGATGGACGGAATTGGCAGAAATCAGGGGGAATATGCAATTTCTCACAAATCTTTACAAGAAAGGTTATAAACCCTTCACAGATCTTTACAATAATGGAGTTAAACCCGAAGGTTTACATATAGAGGAATGCTCCAAATGGCCAGAATTTGTAATTTTCAAACTTGCTCCAACGATAAACACTGATGAAGTCGAAACAAACGTCTAAACGTTTTATCTCATTTTTTCGTAAATCACATATGGATCTGTTTGTGGGGGTGCTGAATAAAAAAAATAAACCAACTCTTTAAAACCTAAATAAAAAATACAGCTCAGCAATTTTTAATGTATTATTTTTATTTATAAAGATACGTCAACAGGTGTACATTAGATGTGACACAAATGTAGTTTATGTTTACCGTGTACAAGGGAATGGCTCAACACTAAAAGCCTCAGTCACATTTGCTTTACAGGGGTGCACGGTGGCCGTAGCTTCACAAAATCAATAAAGTCTACATCGTACTGTTTATCCCTATTTTTTATGCTGCATATTTCTATTGAACTTGGGAAGCTACGGCCGCCGTGCATCAAATGTGATTAAGGCATTACCATGCTAACTGTCAACACCTGGATAATGTATATACTAATGGGATGTGATTTTTATCATTACTGATGTCAATTTGTTGATTAATTGTGATTGAGAGGGGGCGTGGACTGGGGGTAGTGCCAACGATATAATAAATAAAAATGAACAATTGAATCAACAAACTTTATATTTGTTTTTTTATTCGATAACATGTTTTCCCATTGATTGATCACTAAATGTATAACATGAGTATATATGAGCATACTCGAAAGGACGCTTATAAAGTACATTGTTTTTTCTTTCATGGTTTACTTGGGCCATCTTTTCATCCTTTTGTTTTATGTTCTGCAATAGCGTCTCTTGCGAGTTGAGCGACACCTTTTATCCTAATAATGAAACTACGACAGTCATTTGCATGTATACCAACTGCTAGCGTATCAGGGTCCTCGATGATAATACCTGTTGGGTAAATGAAGGGCTCGTCAATAATCCAATGTCGAATAACCGGACAGGAAGATAGAATGTCATTGTGGACCTCTATAGGGTCTGATGTGTAGACTAACTCGTATGGTTCCACGCACAAGAGGGTTACATGGGCGTAGTAGAGCCGGTGATTGTTCTTAGTCTTAACCACAGAGTGGGTAATGGCAATATAATATGGCCAAATATATAACTGGAAAGGGGTCCCTCCCCTCTGACCGTACTTTAACTTGGGGGAGTGTTCTTCAATAAATATCTTGGTGCATTTTGTGATATTCTCACAGCGCATGATAATGAGGGGGTTAATCCAATGCACGTAGTGGAGAATACCATTTATGACCATGCTGGACCAGTTCTTGTCTGCTTGATCCTCGGGGTACTTGTCATACCAGGGCATCATTAACTTGTGGTTGTCATAGTCCCATACATACGTACGTTCATAGGCGTTGTGAGGGGGATATTTCATGTGAAAGTTAACGTAAAGGGTGTCATTGATCTCAAACAGCCTCGGGTCTAGCTGTCCAGTGCCATAATGAAACTGTTGGATTGACGGAATCCCAAGTAAGGACCCTGGTTCAACTTTGGTTAAATTCTTATGGAATGTTTCTGCATAGAGGTAATTATCGTACCATTCGTTCTTAGGTGTATGCTTTCTTCCCTCATAGTTAATCCATAATCTAAGTACCGCAACGATCTTACCGCGGTGCCAATGCATTGCCGGGCAAATCATGTAGTAGTCATTTTCTGCAGGGGTGTCTGCGAACATGTCGCTGGCATGACGGGGCTCTGTCTTAAATGTATATAATAACGATGTCGAGATTTCGTGCTTTTTTGGAATTTGCTTAAACTGATCGCCATCTTTACGGATGACCACCCCCTGCAAGGTTTGTTCATGGATAAATGTGTCAGACACATGAATACTGTTATCATGGTCGATCCGTTTTGTCCTTTTACGAACTATCTCTCGTTCGTTTTTTGAGTCCGCTTTAATTAAATTGTCATCTACGTGACTGTTATTTTCAGAAAGCTTAGCAATGATATATACCAGAAGTAAAGCTCCTATTGCAAGTCCTAACCGCCTTTTTAAAGGTGACTGGCAAAATCGTTTTGTCCATCTAGGCATCATCTCACACTGACCGTCTCGGCAAAATATTTCATCCATCAACAATAGCTTGCGACTTTGGTAATCAACAAATCCTGAAAAAATTAAAACGACGATCAAGTTTTTAGTCAGGTATACATGTAAAAGCTCAGATCTAAGGGCCAACACAAAAGAAAATCCTCCGAATTGCGGACATCATCCATTCTGTTTCAGAACAAGGAAAGAACAGAGCGGAGGATATGTACAAAGACTTTGGGTTCGTAGGATGACACACACACTATAACAGTTATAACTACAATGCATTAAAATGCAAAATGTCAGTACCTACCATTTGTTACAGACGCTGAACACCGTCCACAACAAGGTTGAAGACTGTAACGACCACTTGAGTTGGTGACATTAAAATGTGACTTGTATAAGTATAAGACATCCAAAGTATGATTCTTTTATGATACTATTCCAGTTGAATTATTATGATCTTATGATCGACTACAATAGGCCTATAGCTATGTACAGGGTGACAAAAAAAACTGGAACCCACTTAAGTCTTAATAACTTCGTCAATGATGCATATTGAGCTAGGTTATTTGGTACATCTATAGTCAACTGAATGTATGACAAGATGTCAAAGTTTTAGCATTCTAGCCCAATTAGTTTTCAAATGAGGCACGATTAGATAATGTGCTCCAAATGTGCACCACGACGTTGGATGCAGAGCTGGATTCTTCTTGCAAAATTGTCAATGACCCGACTGCATTCATCTCTGTCTATCTCTCTAATTAGTCTTCCAATGTTGAGTTTTAGGTCATCAATGGTCAGGGGACTATCTGTATACACATTATCCTTGAGATACCCCCACAGATAAAAATCTGGGGGGTTCAATCAGGGGAGTGGGGGGGTGGCACATGTGGCGGGTATGGTGACTGATTAATCGATCACCAAAGTGAGCCTGAAGCCATCGAATGGACTCATTTGAGGTCTGGGGTGTGGCACCATCTTGTTGGAACCATTGCTGGTCCCTTCTCAAGTCACGTCGTCTACCCAGCGCTCTCCAAAACTTTTGAACGTTAGGGATGTAACGTTCTGAGTTGACTGTTGAGTTGTCTTGAGTTCTGACAGACCTCTCCCTCCCCGAATAGGTTGGTTTACCATCACTTTTCTTCTTTGTTGGTTTTACAGTTCCTTCTGAATCAAACTTCTGTACAAGCCAAAACATCTGTACAAGATCTGTGACTTTCAAGGGGCTCTTCTTGCCCTGTGATCTCTCATATAGGCAGTTTGTGTCTCTTTAAAGGATTTGTCTCGATATACTTTCTCACAATATAAGTCTTTTCTTCTGTCGTCCATGGCATGATTAATATCTAAGCTTCAGTACTCATTATTGTGTCATTTTGTCATGCATTCAGTCTAGTTTCTACCCTGAAGAAACTAGACTGTACTCTACGGTTTCTACCACGAAACGAGTGACCAAACGACGCTGAAACAAACTGAACGCATAGACTCAATCAGCCCAGATATGCTATTGTACCAAACTGGCTTTATGACAATTGAATAATTGTGATCAAACATGTACAGTTATATAGTATGTTCTGAATAATCCTATTGTATTTGAGATTTTATGAAATGTGCTACCCATACAATAACATGATGGTTATCGATTAAAATGGTTCTTTGTGTCATTGGGAATCGTGAATTTCAAGAAATGGCAAAACTGTTGGATTAACTATGTTAACGATCTGTTATGAATGAATACTACTGTCTCGGTGGAACAACGTCGAGAAACACATCAAACACACAGACTTCACCATACATTATCAGAATTGTATGCAGCCTATAGTTGTCTCTGTGTTTGTTTTCTGCTAAGCCTTTACCCAAAATAATACAAGCAATGGTACATAAAACAGAGAATTTATTTCGTATAAGCCTAAAATTGTAAAACCCAGCTAGGAAAACGACTTTTCCTCCCCCGGCCATTGATGAACTTTATTAGCAATATTATAAGGTGGCCCTAGCTGATATCTTAACTCAGTCTTACGAGTCCTCAAAAGTTTAATAAAATTGAGACAAGAGAAAGCGGTCCACATACCCTGAGAAATTTCTATTTTAATTTTCACCTGTCACATATAATTAGGCCTATAGTACCACACCCTCGGTGAATTTTCGAACACGTCGACACTATTCCTAGCCCTCTATAAAGGACCCTTAATTCGTCGAGTTTTTTCAATTCATCTGAATTTGATCATTTTCGAATTCCTGCTGTATATTGCCTGAGAGCAGTCAGTCGTGCACACTATCCTTTTCAATTACATCACTGTTAAATTGTACATCTGCTTTAAATGGGACATAGACACAGACACTGCCCCATGTCATCGCGAGAAATCACAGCCATCCTGTCAGTTTCCTTTTTAAGAGGTGGTCTGAGTACTAAAGTCCATTTCACTGCTTCATTTCGTCAATAGAACGGCAAAAATAAGAAATTGGGAGACCATTGTGCAATAATATATGGAAAAGTATATTCATAATGTACATGAATGACATTTGTATATCTTGGATTGCTTCTAGTTTGGCTTATAAAGTGTGTGGCCTCTTATATTTGGATGTTTCTCTGCCATGTTATTTTCAATAAGATTAACATGGCTGAAATTCTTCAAATTACAAGACTGCACAGGCTTATTGCACAAAAAACTAAAAAATCTGAAATATACAAATGTGATTCATGTACATTATGAATAAACTTTTCCATATATTATTGCACAATGGTCTCCCAATTTCTTATTTTTGCCATTCTACTGACGAAATGAAGCAGTGAAATGGACTCTATATAAGAATGGTCTGTCGTGTCCTGAGTAAGTTTGATTATTGTCAAGATACTTACCCAATCTGTTTACTGCCTACTCTAAGGTGATATGCCGTGTTTTCCACATCGGCATTGACACATGCATGTAGTCGTTTCACCCATCATGTACTCGTCCTGTACACATCACCGTCTCAACACGGCAAGGTATTTCACTACTGCTCACAGCATATAGTTTTGATCCGTTTAGTACATACACTTTTCAATTGAATTGATATTTATTTATATGGCGGAGAACTATATTTAAGTGAGACATGTCAATGTGAACTTTTAAATGGAATATCACATCAGTTTAAATCGTATATACACTATTATTTGCCAGTTGCCACGGCATCGTACTCACCTTCCAGTTCAGTGATCGGACGTGACATAAGTGACGTTTTTGTCTATTGCTGTTTTAAAAAAATAAGTTTCCCCAAATTAAAACAATCGAAATCAAAATTGAAGGGGGGGGGGGGGGGTGAACGAAGGCCGGGGGAGTAATGTGTCTTAGAATTTAATAGTGGTGTCAATTAACCGCTTGAGCATTAACCGGTTAACCGGGGGTTTTTACCGGTTAAAGTCGGTTAACCGGCGGGAAATTTGAACTTATAATTTCAAATGAAATCTTCATCTTCGATCTTGAAAGTTGAAAAAATTGGAAAAATGATATATCGGCGTTTATTTTTTACGTTCGTCAAGCTTTACGCTATTCTATGTAAGTAAGCGCGGGAAAGCAATGTGGCAGGGATTAAAGTTGCTGATTGGATGTTTGTAAGGAATTATCGGACCTATCACATGTATGAGTAGCTCACATGAAACCGACGCTTGAAAAACAAACAGATTAAAATGCAAAGTAAGCGCGGGAAAGCAATGTGGCAGGGATTAAAGTTGCTGATTGGATGTTTGTAAGGAGTTATGGGACTTATGACATGTATGAGTAGCTTACGTGAAACTGACACCATAAAACCAAACGGATTAGCATGCAAAATAAGCGCGGGAAATAACATAATTATACACGGTCAACTAACCGCCCATAAAAACTCAGACCGGTCAAGGCATTATCGGCGGTTAACCGGTTAACCGGTTAATACTTGACACCTCTAGAATTTAAGATGGAAGAAATTTCCGTGAATTCGTGTCTTTGAAAATGAACTCATTAATGTCTGGGTCACATTTGCTCCGATTCATCGGCCGGCGCCCGGCCGATTGAGTATTTTGTTCAAAATTGTATTCAGTTTTGAATATAATCATAGGCAAAGGTCGATAGAAATAATTTTTAAAATAAAGATGGCATGGTAATCGATCTGTGTTTATTTATAAATATTCTCTGAGAAAAAGATACTGGATTCTGTTGGTGCTGTCATCTTTATATCGGCCCAGAACCTATGAATATAATACTCAATCGGCCGGGCGCCGTAGTGAAAATCGGAATGTGACCAAGGCATAACTCAGTAACAACTGGATGTAACAACTCGGAAGAAGGAAAAATAAGGACATATGGAGTTATTGGAAATAAGGTCAAGTTACATCTCTTAATATATATCTTATAGACAAATTACTCCCCCGCCCTCCGTTCAATTTTAATTCACGGTTTTAGATTATTTTTTATTTAACGTAGGCCTAAAGACTTATGGTAACGTGTTTTACTAACCAACAGTCAATATGGTTTTGTGATAATAACGTCACTTACACGTACAAGTATTTATAACAGATCGTGTACTGACCCCCCAGGCCCGTAGCCAGGATTTGCCGAGGGGGGGGGGGGGGTTCACTTTTTCATGGCGTAGAATAATGGAAATACCGTCATAAATCCCGGGACTAATAAATCTCAGATCCAACTACGTCATATGGTGGAAATCAATATATTCACAAAGGACGATTCTCGGTTTGGAGAACGAAGTTCATCAATCTAAATGAGCATTATCCGTGCTTCGGACAAATTTGATATTTTTACATAATATAGATTTGAATGTCTTCTTTTGAATAGTCATAATTTAATTTGGGTATTATTTCTAGATTTTTCGCAAAAAAAATATTAGCGCAGTACACTGATGAACTTCTTTCCCCAAATCGAGACTTGTATTTTATTCAATCGGTCTAATTGAGCGTTATCCCTGCTTCAGACCAATTTGTTATTTTTACATCTTGTAGATTTAAATATCCTCTTTTGAATATTCATAGTTTAATTTGGGTAATATTTCTATATTTTTCATGAAAAAATTATTAGCCCAGGAGACTGTTCTCCAAACCGAGAATCGTCCTTTTAAGCCAATTTGGCGGATAGATTATTCAGCAAAATTCGCTCTTTTAGATTCCGATGATAGAGCGATTAGATATTATTAGATCATTAAACGAATGGTTTGAAATGATGGCGATATGCCGTTTTTTCATAATGATGGCCAATTCATCCCAAAAATGAGCATATTCAATGGCGGATAGATCTATGCGGGGTTCATCTATGTGCATTCAAGTATGCTTCATCCAGCTATTTAATTTATATATCAAAATATCCGTATCGATATGTATGACAAGAATCCGATGAATCCTGTCATTTGCTTAAAAGCTTATTTCAATTATAAATTTTAATGAAGAAGGCTTTCCATTGAAATCTGTGGACCATGAAATGCCGATTTTCGCGCATACATGTAGGTCATTTTGTGACATCGATTTCAATTATTCTACGCCATTCACCCCCCCCTCCCCCGTTGCTTGGTTTATCACAGTCGGTATGCAGTAGATTTTGGGCAAGCCCAAATCATGATTTATACTTTCTTCTCTAGACTGATGATTTGGGCTTGCTCTGCTGAAGCATAACTGAACTACATAGTCTATCATTGGCATTTGCCTAAATTCAACGTACGTAGACCAAGAAAATAGCGACATTCTCAATATAACAGCTTCAACAGAATGATGCCGATTTCCATCGTGTACCAATGCGTTCGACTGCGAAAACATGGAAAAACAAATACAGAAGTTGGATCAAAAAGTTTTGGTAAAACTGCGAACAAATACCTAAGCCGAGTCTTTTATGCGTTCGCTTAATTACTGCACCTGGGAAAAATACGGCGGGAATACACTGGAAAAGTTATATTACTTTTAACAGTTTGCAAAGGGTTACAATGAGTCTCTGGGTTGACAAGTATCGTCCTACAAATCTGAGTAAGCTCGACTACCACAAAGAGCAGGCAGCACACATAAAGAAGCTGGTGAGACGACGTTTTTGGTTTTTACATTAAATTTCACTGTATTATCGCCCATTGTTTTTGCTTGAAATGTTCATTTGATTTTTAATAAGGATATAGTCCTGAGTAAGGACATTAGATTTGGTTTTCTGAATAAAAAGTCATTTTCTCCTTCCCTACCCCATTGGAGCGCCATCTAGCGTTTGGGAAGTGAATCGGGACTAAATATTTATAGGGTAGGTCCTAATTTATCTGAAAACATGTCAGAGTTCAGTGGAAAATCTCATTTTAAGCTGGCGGCGGAGTGATTTTGACCTTGGTGATTTTACCAGAATTCTCTGAGAAATCTGACGATAGAGGGGGTTAGTGTCTTCAAGTTTATTTATTTCAAAAATTCGGTGGACAACCCATGGTAAGATTGTTATAGCAGGCTAGGCGAGTCTCTCCCGAACACTGTGGTATGTTGCACTAGGCCTGGATACTAATCGTTAATAAGATACAGGGTAAAATGTTATAATGGCCACCTATGGGAAACTCTACTGTGGTCTTCAACCTAATAGAAGGCGCTTTTTGGGGGCATTTTGAAGGTTTTATCCCTTTTTGAGGTTTTTTAGTTCATTGAGAAGCCTAATAGCGCATATCATATTAAAGGGCTGTATCTTAGCTGAACAATGCTATCAAAATCGTGACATTTTGAAGCAATTTTGGTGCTTTGGGGGCGAGGCCACTGTGCCAAGTACCCCGAATTCCATTCTCCCGTGCCATTCAATTGTTTTCGGGGCAGTTTTGAATGAACCTTTGTTTCTTCCTACCAATATGACGTCATAAGATGCAATCGAACGCCTTGGCATGGATATCACTTGAAAGATAGTAGAAATCGCTTTCCCATGATACCCCATATGGCCATGTTCACCTCAGTTGGGTGTACTCAATCTGTGATGCAATCTGTAAGGTGTACCCCTACCCCAAAGAAATTTCAAGAAATCTCAAAATCAAATTTCCTGAATTTTGCTAAAAGGACCTGTGTCTATAAGGATTGAATTTTCCTCCGTGCATTTTCTCAAATATAGGACTGTTATATACCATTGTGATCGGGATAATGCCTACAATGCTAATATAACCATGTTGGAAGAAAACAAACTAATTCAGTTTACTAAACTCTTCCGACATGATCAGATGCAGTGCTGTAATTAGGCTATTCATTTTTATACATATTCCTGAGCCTGTGTTATGAAATTCATTTTCATCATTTTGATTATGAGTACAAGTATACATTTGTTGTTTGTTAGACCTTCATACAATTGATTCCTTTTACTAGACTCTTCTTGCTTAAGGTGACTGTTAACTTAATCGATTTTCAGAAAAATTGAAAATTTCACAATCTTGAAATTTTCAAACTCTTCCTGAGAAGTCGTTTTTATTATTTCACATATGCTTGTGCACTGTTATCATTACAAAGACATCAAAGAACAACAAAAAACTTTAGTTTGAGAAAAAAGTGCCATTTAAAGAATTTGAGAAGATTTGAGTAGCCCGTGAAAAACCGCTGATTCAAAATATCTGAACATTTCAGAAAATATACTTCAAACATATATCAAAAACGAAGGAGCAACGGAAATTTGAAAAATTACCCGATAAAAAAATTGGGATCAAAATAAGGAAAAAAGTACACTTCTCAAATTGTTTTTTTCTATTTTTTTAATTTGTATGAGAGATTTCAAAATTCTAAAGCTCCTTCCATTTTGGGCTATATTAAAGGGATGTTTCAGAGAAATTAGAAAAAAAATGTTTAGGGACCTTTGCCGTACTACTCTTTTTTGGTCAATTTTTCTGTCACATTTTCAGAGGACTCAAATTCCCATTCCAAAATGTTTACTGTTTCTATTTGCATTACCACAGTGAGCCTGGTTATATAAATGATAAGTGGAACTAAAAAATTGAGAGAAATCCAACCAAAAGACAGTTAATTTTGATGGTCAGATTATACTCAAATGCCATGTGCTTCCTGGTTTCGGCCATCTTGGATTTTTTGATTAAGTTAAAAGTTACCTTAAATGACTGCACATTACATGTATGCCAGCATGTATTGAGAAGACATCACTTCTTATATTTATAGGTAGCAAGTGGTGACTTCCCTCATCTCCTGGTCTATGGACCAAGTGGGGCAGGCAAGAAGACACGAATCATGTGTCTCCTGAGGGAGTTGTATGGGGCAGGAGTAGAGAAACTGAGAATGGAGCATCAGAGTTTTGTCACTCCCTCAAAGAAGAAACTTGAGATATCAACCATTGCCAGCAACTATCACATTGAAGTCAACCCTAGGTAAAATTGCATATATAATCTAAATGCCTGAAGAGGTCTGTTTGGATTGTGCAAAGAATTAAGATTTTTAATCTAAATGAAACTAATGGTACATTTTAAAGCTAGCAATTATTTCATGCAAGTTTGATATATTTCTAAAGCCTTGGATATTTGAATTTGAGACCTCTTTTCAAAAGTTATGCAAATAAATTAAAATGTACAATCTGTATTTTCCATGTGTGTAAAATCTAATTCCAGTGACGTTGGTATCCAAGATAGGGTTGTCATTCAAGAAATCATCAAAACAGTGGCCCAGTCAAATCAGATTGATACAAGCCAACAGAAAGATTTTAAAGGTATACTGTTCACATGTACAGAGTGACACAAAAAAGCAGCCCATGATGGAATTGTATTAAAACCTTATTACGATTGCACAATGGGAATACTTCAATAATCATGTGTATCAATGATGAGTTACATTTGAAGTACATATTAAAATAAGGTTGACAGCCTTTGAAATAGATATTATGTAGACCATGCAATATTTGAATTACCATGGGCTTCCAACAGATTGAAACCATGCATCTATTGAAAGCCCATGGAATTGCTAAACATAGATATATTGCAGTGGTGCGCAACATTCGATTTTATCATTGTGAGAGGAGTATTCATATGCATCGTAATGTTTCAGTGATTCTACTGACGGAGACAGACCGCCTTACGAAGGATGCACAGCATGCTCTTAGGCGTACTATGGAGAAGTACATGGGGACGTGCAGGCTCATTTTATGCTGCAACTCTACCAGTAAAGTTATCCCTGCTATTAGGAGCAGGTGTCTTGGCATAAGAGTCCCAGCACCCAAAATAGAAGAGGTAATGGACTTGGCAAAGGCATTTGAAAGATTTCACTCCACTTTACACCTATTCAGTAATATTAGCCGAGCTTTTACCTGCAGACTTCAATTACTGTACTTCTACTTAATTTGGTGCGACTTATTTTGGCGGATTCGCTGTTTTGAACATTTGCCGGCTACTTAATTTGGGGACTTGAATATTGAAATGTAAATACCATACAAAATGATTAGAAAATGAAATATTGAATATGGCGGCAACTTAATTTTGCAGACTTTAACAATTTGGTGGATCCCCCAAATTAAAACGGCCACCAAATTAAGTAGAAGTACAGTACATTACATAGATAAAAATATATTAATAACATCACTGAAAATAAAAGGATATCTTACATTCATTAAAATACTTCAAAAATAAAGACGGTCATTTGAAGAAATGGTAATATAAAAGTTTACCTTTTACTTTAGATTTCGAAAATCTTGGTGACCACCTGTAAAAAGGAAGGACTGAATCTCCCCTCCCAGTTGGCAACAAAAATAGCAGAAAAAAGCAACAGAAACCTGAGACGTGCTTTATTAATGTGTGAGGCTTGTAGAGTCCAACAGTAAGTTATGATCAGATATAAAGTGGCATTCACAGGACATTAACACAATCAGGCCCGTAGCCAGGATTTGCCAAGGGGGGGTTCAGTTTTCAAAAATTTCCAGGGGGGTTCACATTTGACAATTTTGGTCCAAATATGGCTAAAATCACTTGAGAAGTGCTCAAAATGGTGAATAACTGCATGATTTTGAAAGAATTTTTGGCCAGGGGGGGGGGGGGGGGGTTCGCCCGAACCCTGCAAACCCCCCCCTGGCTACGGGCCTGACAATACTGTAGTAAATAAATTAAATGTAATTTCTTGTGAGGCATTCCAACACACTGGAGAAAGACCAGTTAGTATAGTTTGAAAGAATATCACATTATTATGTTCTGCAAAATACATCTGTCAAAAATCAAAACAGAGTTTGGCCAAATCACTTTTTTATGTAGCTGTTAACAGAAAGGGAGGGAAATGATTCATATATTATTGTCCTCTAGCTGTAATTTGTTATACTGGCGAGGCATAGCCACTGGGAAAACAACCATTTTGAAAGAAAATATTTCATTATTTTGTATTGTAAATCACATCTGTCAACATAGATTTTGCCTAAAACACTGTTCTCTAATGTAACAGAAGGGGGTTAACATTAGCCTTTATTTGTAATTCTGTACTTGTCTTTGTTTAAGATACCCATTTAGTGCAGACCAGAGTGTGAGTGAACCAGACTGGGAAGTATATCTCCGTGAGACGGCAAACATGATTGTCCAGCAGCAAAGTCCACAGAGGTGAGGTTTCTTTAACCTCTTGAATCCCATGCTCTGAAATAGGTTGAAACCAGAGAATTTTCATTTTTGCCACCTTTTGACATTTTACTACATCATGTACATACCTATACAATTTTAGATGCTCAACTTAGTAAAATTAGACAGCAGAGATCATTTCTACACATTTCGAAATGATTTTTGTGTAAATTGGATGAAAATTGTAAGAGCAATTTTGGTGAAAAATGTTGTGATGGATTTTTTCGTCACTCTGGGTGTCAAGGTCATTTCTGAGGTGACGAGAAATCTCGTCACTCCAGGTAGTCAAGAGGTTAACTTGTATAGGACAGAAAAACCTGTGATTTTGAAAACCTCACTATGTTATATGATGTTCCACTGTATCGATACATTTGTTTTTCATTTTATACATTTCATTTTACATGTTATAATATGTTCCACAATACATGTATGTTATATGATATTCCAGGTTGCTTGAAGTGAGGCAGAGAATATATGAGCTACTGACCCATTGTATTCCAGCTGATATAATCATGAAGGTATCTACTTATACTGTGCTTTGATACATATTTTAATGACACTCAGATTCTGCCATCTTTACCACATAAAGGAAATGTTTCATTCATCCTAAAATGTCACATGTGCAAGATGAGATTACTACAAACAAGAATGACATTGTTACCTACTCAATTTTGATATAGGGTGAGCCAAAAATGGTAACCCAAACAAATGTTATCTTAGACATTCAGCAAGTGTTTAGTGTCATATTTGGCCCAATTTACCCTTGTTGTTCCTTCACTCTGCCAAGTTTATTGGTCTATTTCCAATGTTTTAAGACTTGTAATGTTAAACTGACAATCGACAACTGACAAGTTCAAATTGCAATCAATTTTGGTTTATTAACTGAAAACATGTTATCTAAGTATAGACGCCTCTTCTTAAACATAGAACCTCTTATATCAGGACTTGATCTTGAACCTGACTTCAAGAAATGTTTTTTTCATAAACAACATTTTTCACATTTTCATCATTCCATATAATTAATCAATTTTCAAATACATACACATAGCAACAGAGTTCTATTGTTATGACATCACAGCAAATTTTCTGGATTGATCATTAGTGATTTTCACAGACGCTGGTATTTTATAGCATGCATAAAATGGCCAGAAGAACTTTTAAAAAAATCATCGTTTACATTTTTCGTTCCAGGGGCTGTTAAAAGAAGTTGTTGCCAATTGTGATGGACAGTTAAAAACAGAAATAACTCAAGTGGCGGCTTTCTATGAACATAGACTTCAAATGGGACAAAAGGAGATATATCACATCGAGGCATTCGTTGCTAAATTTATGTCCATTTACAAGCATTTCTTGGATGAAAGTATGGGAGAATTTTTCTAAGTTAACTCCTAATCGTTCATTTATGTACTGTGGAACTAATTTTTAAAAAACAATGAGGACATTTTGCAAGGGAGTGAAGTATTGTATTTGTTGTTAGGGCTGAAAGACCTGCAGTGTTTACATAAGTTCATTGTACTCTTGACATACGAACTACATTATACAATAAATAGATCAATGTTAACATTCAGCTTTTGTCATTCTGTTTTAATCACACCACTGGTGAGACAGAGTCATGATTAAGGCATATAATGATGACTGATCGTGTTGCCGTCCCGCATTTTTGTCCTCCCGGAGAGAAGCAAGTTAAGTTCTAGAGCTCATTAACAAATTTTCTATTTGGCCAAGTTCTACATTTTATTTTGCGTGGTCACTTGGTGGTTGGATTTTTTTAATGCCATGCGCATTGTTAAAATTCTAGAATATGAGGATTTTTGTCCCCAGTTTAATTACATAACATGGGCTCCTTCTGAAGAAAACATTCATTTTTTCCATAGTCTGTTGATTGCTGATCTACTATAAGAGGCAACTCAAGTTTTATGAAAACTGTTCCATTCATTACCATTGGCTATTATAGACATAGCTCAAAATTATTATTAAGCAAAATTTAAATAAAAATTATCATGTAAAAGGGAAAATTGTAATTCATAGATTATCAATAATGCCTACAAGTTTCGGCAAAACAAGATGCAAACTTTCAAAATGGCCACTTTTTATGCAGAAAATCTGGTTTTCAGCCTGTTTTTAGTCATAACTCCAGAAATGTTCCATCAATTTGCTTGAAATTATACAAGTACCTTAATTTCTAGGTTATCAATAATGTCTCCAAGTTTCAGCAAAATATGTCGCAGAGATTCAAAATGGCCGCTAATTTAATGTAGAAAAATCTGGTTTTCAGCTTGTCTTTGGTCATAACTCAACAAGTATTCCATTAATTTGTTTGAAATTGTAAAGTTACCTTAATTTCTAGGTTATCAACAATTTCCACAACCTTTATCAACCTTTCATATGCAAAAAGATTTAATTATTCTTAGCTCATACTGTAAAATATTAGAAATATTGAGATAGAGTACCCATGGTATTATTTTATTGCTAAATATGGCAAAAAAACGAATGCATGATTTTTTCTGAAAATCTGAGATTTTTCATTTCAAACCAAAGTAATGAGTATTATTGTATTTAATTTTTGTAGTATATGTTTACAGTCACCTAGTCAACATAGGGAAGTGATTGAAACTCTTCCCTGCTAACATTGTGTAGTCGTTGAAGAGTCACTTTGTAAAATTAAGGTATTTAATTTTATATGTTCAAAATATTCAGTGTTTTTTGTCCTGACCAATACACGCTCAGTTCTTGTGCTGTACCTATCTGTATTGCTACTGAGATTGTCCCCATTGATCACCTCCGTCGCAATACAGAAAATATTGGTACGGGGGGGCATTGTCAGTAGCAATACGGAGGATCACATGATAAAAATGTTATAGAATGATTTGAAATGCAACACATGATATATTCTGCTCTCGATATTCTGTATTGGCACTCGACTTCGTCTCGTTCCAGTTCGGAATTCTCGAGCAGAATATATCCTGTATTGCACTTCAAATCATTCAACAACTTATAGTACTGTTTTAGAGCAACGGGCTGGTTCGAATAGTGAAGCTATCTGTCCAGCTGTCATTCCGTAGGTTTTTGATTTAATGTTTTTTTAAATTTTGATTTTAGTATTGTATCCTATGCGGACCCTGAAATATCTCTAGAATACATCATTTTGGAGTATACATCACAGAAAAATCACATCACAGTAATTGGCTACCTAACTTATAATGGCCGGATCAAATGTATATTCGAGTATCACTGGTGATCCACTCGATTACGCTGGTTACCGAAACGTTTCGTTTCGGTAACAAAATGTCGGAACATTAGAGGTACGATTTTTCTTTTTTCCTTATTTCACACGTTGTAGGCAGAATTCCCACGACATTTTTTATCAGAAACGTGTATCAGTATCATATGTTTAAGAAAATGTACATATTTGCGAACAAATAGTTCAGAAGACAACAGAATCGTCGATTTAATTCCTCACTTAAGTTACATAAACGGTATTTCGAAAAACAGTTAAGATCTGCACTTTTAACCCAAACCGTTTATGTAACTTAAGTGAGGAATTAAATCGACGATTCTGTTGTCTTCTGAGCTATTTTTCCGCAAACATGTACATTTTCTAAAACATATGATACTGCTACACGTTTGTGGGAAAAAATGTCGTGGGGATTCGGTCTACAGCGCGTTAAATAAGGAAAAAAGAAAAATCGTACCTTCGACGTTCCGAAATTTTGTCACCGAAACGAACCGTTTCGGTAACCAGCGTAATCGAGCGGATCACCAGTGAGTATATAATATATAGAGTGAAAAATATATAATAATCGTGTCATTTTTTAGATTTATGAAAATCTTGTTTTGGAAATCACATTTTGTTCGTTGAGGTATTTGACTTCTAGGTGACTACTTTGTTTTGTAGTTCAAGTAGTTGAACTTTCTATTTAATTACTGAATTTTATCGTATTATATGTATATTCTCCCCTCTTATTGTTTTGTGATAAAAATGTACTCGTAAAACCTGGTATGTAAGCCACTTGTCTCCAACACGCTCTAAAACCGTGACCCAAGCTTTGCTTTTTGACCTATTTGAGAAATATAGTTTAATATGAGTGAATTTAGTAGATAAGACACATATATGTGTTGATATATTGACAGTTTTAATATAACCCATCTGGATTTTGATAACAATATATTTACAAATCATGAATTTTACTTGTGTTATAAGTCACAAAGATTGTACTTCATTATAACATGATTCAAAATAAGGTTATATTAATGCATTGATCACAATGATATTAGATGTAAGAAGCACTGTATATACTATATATCCCGGATATTTTTTATATATTTATTTTCATTATTGTGGCACAAATAGTTAGTCCCCCTGTCGGATTTATATCGGGTACATCCAGAGGAATCTATTATATCTTCCTTAGGGATCTCTGGGATCAACCAAGGGAAGATATCATATCACTTAGAAGAAGGTAATACCGCCCTTACGTATAACAGTAAACTCCTGCAGATAACATGTAATGTCAGTCATGTCGATCTTTAATAATGATCACATAATGTCATACTAAACACTTTAAAAGAAAAAGAGTCGTAACACACACTTTAGATATATTCCAGATACAACTTCAGATAATTATCTCACCGAACGAAGATCGAGGGGATATAGAACAGCCGTCCGTCTGTTCGTTCGTCTGTCCTGGCGATAACTCATCACCGTTTGACGGATTTGATTCAAATTTCATAGGCTTATGCCTTATTGGTGTAGGACCTCTGCTCGAGAAAGAATTTTCAATATGGGCACTCAATTCACCCAATGGCCGCCATTTTTCGTAAAAATGTAATCTTAATTAACTCAAATACCATTTGACGTATGTTGTTCAAATTTTATATGCTTATGCCCAGGGACGAGTTTTGCTCAAGAAGATATTTTCAAGATGGATGCTGAATTTCAGAATGGCCGCCAATCTTTGATAACTCAAATACCAGTAGACTGATATGCTGATGCCTGCTCGAGAAGGAATTTTCAAGATGGCAAATGAATTTCAAAATGGCTGCCATTTTTCGTAAAAGAACGTTATTATAGATATCTCAAATACCATTTGACAGATTTGTTTCGAATTTTATAGACATTTTTAAGATAGCTACTGAATTTCAAAATGGCCGCCATTTTTCCTAAAAACGTAGTTTTTTGATAACTTAAATACCATTAGACTGATTTTCTTCAAATTTTATATATCGATGCCTCGGGACAAAAGAGATTAAATTCAATATTGTCGCCATCTTTCATAAAGAACGTAAATTTTGATAACTTAAATGGATAGATTTGGTTCAAATTGTATATGCTAATGCCCAGAGATAAGGAACGCTGCTCGAGAAACATTTTTCTAGATGGTCACGTTTAATCAAAATTGCTGCAATTTTTGTCATTAAATATGTCATATGTAAATAACCCAAATACCATTAGATGGATTTGTTTAAGATTGTATATGCTGATGTCTAGGATCGAAAAAGCTCTGTCCAAGAAGAGATTTTCAAGATGGCAGCTGATTTTCAAAATGGCCGCCATTTTTCATAAAAAACATAATCCTCGATAACTCAAATACCAATGGATGGATTTGGTTCAAATTTTATATATTGAAACCTAGTGACAAAAGGGCTCTATCCAAGAAGAAGTTTTGAAGGTGGTTGCTATATAAAAACATTTTTTGTTCAGTGGGATTTGCTACTTCGCGGAGTTGCTATTTTCTAGTTTTCTAATCTATTTGCGCTAAACCTGTTTCTAATATGCTGTGCAGCCCGATTGGGACGTGTCGTCAATAGGATGTTAAACTCTTTGTTAAGAGTGAGATAAAATGTTTTAGTTAAGAAATGAACTTTTGGGGCACGTTCACCCACTCACGTGCGTCGCTTATCAGTCAACAAGATTAAACAGCACTAAAAACAGGTATATAATATACTTTTGGTTACATACATTCAGAATTAAAATTCTAGAATGAACAAAGTAGTCTAGTAGTTTCAGTGATCTGACCTGTGAAAATTCATACTAAAGTAGACTTTACGGCTGATGTACGACTGAACAGGTTGTAGTGGAAGGAGAAAATGGAACCCGATGTCAACAGAGGTTTGCAAAATGGGGGCAAGTTTGGACGGTTCCAGGTAACAATGTACGTCATTCTGGCCGTCTACATATGCTGCCCTTGCCCATGGCAGATGTTCATCATTGTGTTTATAGGTAAGTTCTTTATCCCAAACTAACAGCGTAGTAATGTTTAATGATGAGCATGTACGTAAAATTGTCATATTTGTAAACTGTGCTATTTTTTGTGTATAAGTCTCTTTGTGAATGGTCATTTTGCCGAATCATTTAATTTGCCTATTGTCTAATTTTTGCCAGGTTCTGGAAATTAAATGCCGGTAATATTATCTTCGTAATATTATCTTCATAATATTATCCAATGGAAAGTTTCTCGTAATCAGGAAAATTAAGATTAGGAAAATGATAAAATCGGATAAGTCAGTAATATAGTCCTTAGAATAGTATGTTACATTTTCAGTCAGAATTGCTCTCAAAACGCTTGTTTGTTACTGCAGTTTTTATGTCACTAGCACAAGTGGTGGCATACTGTTACAGTCCCTGACTTTTCGTGGATGTTGTTCAGCGGCTAGTGTTCGGCGGTTGACGTCAGTAACAAATGAAATGTGGTGACATTTTGCATGTTAATGCTTCGTTATAAAAGCGGAGTCGTGGGAAAGTTCATTACAAAGTCTCTAACGTCGGAAGCCTTTGTCATCTTGCACTATGTCGATTTACTGTTGTAGGGGCTGATTTACCTCATCACTGCCGCATACCCGTAAATGCCTCTAGACAGGAGGGATCCCTTGTCATCTTGCACTATGTCGATTTACTGTTGTAGGAGCTGATTTACCTCATCACTGCCGCATACCCGTGAATGCAACTGTTAATGGATCAATTCCGACAATTGTGAACGCGCGTGGAGAAGAGGAGCTATCCCAATGTACAATGTACGAAAATGTATACGCAAATTCAACGGGGAACGTGACGAGACAGATCGTGCCTTGTAAAGATGGTTGGACGTTCTACAAAGAGACGGACCTTACGCACACGATAGGCATGGAGGTACTTATAGTTCAGTAGCCTTATTCATAAAGCCAACGTAGGACTTACGTCAACGTATCGTATTACGGAAACTTATTTTGGTATTCATAAAGCAAACGTAACTTTACGATGAACGTAAAGTCCTGCGGATCTTACAAAATATTTACGTCAAGTATCTTCACCGTGTAACTTTACGTCCAGCCTTAAAAACACTATTTATTCGTACGTTTAGTATCCAATTACCATGAGATTTTGTGAAACACTTGTTTTAGATATAATACGTAATGTTAAAATGATTTGTCATTTGCTTGACATCTTCAAGTTTCTAGCTGGTTCCAAAGACAGGTACGAAAATGTCATCAATTTCTAGGTGTCCAAGCGTTAACAGCAACGTATCTTTCATATACGTTCAACGTAAATTATTTTCAAATGCCAATGCGTCATCATTACGTAATAGAAAGAAAGAACAAACGCATGTAAGCAAAGATGGCTTTTGTGGTAGATGTGCGCATCTTTGCAGTAAGACGGTCTCTTAGACAAGAGCGATTGCTTAGGGATCGTAGCAATCCCCTCGAAATCTTTGATGATAGGGAGCTTCTTACGAGGTTTAGATTACCGAGGCATTTTATTTTGGAGTAGCCAGCAATTGGTGACCAGGGGTTCGATTTTTTATGTATCCACAAATCTCCCCCTTCATCGGTGTACCTCACATAAAAGCATTTTTTGTATTTGTCATACATACAATTTACACTCCTCCAAAAGTTTGGCAACAATTTGATTTTCTATATTGAAATAGTTTTTGGTGAATCTTTTACTGAAAGATATTGAAATCTGGTAGCAAAATCATACATTTTATATAACAATTGTTTAATTGTTCAATGAAATCCAAATCAAGGGTTAGCATACATTGAGACAACTTTGTTAAGGGCAAATTACAACATATCTCTAAGGAACATATTTTTAACGAGCTACAATTGAAAAAGTCGTCATTCCCAATTCATCATTCAAAGATACATTATCTCAAATTCTGGCATGCTATTCCAACACTTTTAGATGATTTTTGAGAAGAATCCAAATCAAAAGAATTTTATCTGCCATTTCATTTTGTAATAGAGGAGTTCATAATGACCTCATGAACTTACAGTTAGTTTCTGAATACTAGTATATTCAAAAGCAAATATTTTTGAAGATATGATACTTATTAATCATGGCGCACAATAAAAGTCGTAATGGCTGCACGAATACTCTCAATTGGTACTGACGATAGAAGTGACATATGACAAATAGTATATCAGGAAGCAATGCATATTGGTACATTACAGTTGGGGACATAAATAAATGACAGGTGGATTTGCTGAAGTGAGGATTTCCCATGTTAAAAATAAGAGAATTTACAAGAGGCCATACATCAGTGGATGAGATTATACAAAATGTAAAATATACAAATTTTAAGGGATATATATCTAGACAATATTGGAAATTATGGGCTTTCAGACCACCATAATTAGGAAATGGTGATCGAAAATCGACCTGTCATTTATTTTTGTCCCCAACTGTACGTGATTTTTCTAATATTTTTTATGATGAACTTTTCCCCTTAAGTGACACATTTACGATTCTAGGCCGAATTTCGACAATTTAAGCGATATGAGTCAAGAAAATAGTCTTACCTTTCTATTAGGATGGGTTCAGGTGCCAAAAATAACTGATCCATGGATATATATCATTTTGAAATTTGGATGCAAGAAATATTTTTTCGGAGCCATGTTTTTTTACGACTCATAACAGGAAATAGATTATCTAAATGAAAACTGAATTTACATCATCAATCCTGGTTTTGACTTAAAAATTTACCGAAATAGATATTTAAATATTATTAAAATGATTATTGACTATTTTTTTATTAATCTTATGCAGTGATTCGACTGTCTTCTAAAATTTATAACATAGCTTTAGAATTACAGTGTTATTTCATTATGCCAGTGTGGCCTAATGGAGTAAGGCGCTGGACTAAGGTTTTGATAGTTTGAATCCAGCTGTCTGTGGTTCGATTCCCGGTGTAAAAGGGCAGGAGGTCCTTTCAAATTATGGTCCTACTCTCCATTGATTTATATGGTGACCTAAATACAACTCTTTCCCTCATTATCTTATACACAATCAGGGCCAGTAAGGGCCGTTGAGAAGGGGGACCATAATCCCCGGAGGACCATAATTTCTTTTACACCGGTCTATACTAAGTTTTTTTCTTTTTTCTTTATCTCTCAGACACAATTTTTTTTTTAAAATCTCTTTTTATACAACATATAGTCATATCTATCACTTTTTGAGGTTTTAGATTTTAGATACATCATGAATGTGTTACTTTAATTGTGGATATAAAATACTCATTCGAAATACTTAATAAATCTAGTCTTATTTGATATAATCCTCCTTATTATGCCTTTGCCTTCCTCAGCAAAAGATGACTGCAACTGGCTTTTTTTATTGGACAGAACTTTCCACTGCAAGTAATGTGTGTACCCTTTTAGCTTACACTTGTATTTAGTACCAGAGACATACTCACCTAATTGCCTCCCTTAATCCATTTATTTGCTAAACATATATAATTAATGACATTAACACGATCCACTAAAGTTTGATATTCTTGAAAATAGAGTAAACACTAAATACACTGAAACAGCAACAATTTAATCTTAAAATGATCTCCGAGATAAACGTGCATCTGCAAAAACAAAACTGATTTTTTCGCAATGGATTTATTTTTCCTTAAAAAGTGATGGATAATAAAAATATGTTTTTAGAGCATTTTTTATAGCCATTTTGTAGGGAAAAAATGATGAAAAAATGTACAATCTTTTAATTTAAAGTATGACCTGAATCGATTGCAAACTTCATATTTGCACATTTGATGAAATGAACCATTTGTGTCATATTGTTTAATTATAAAGTTTGCAATCGATTCAGGTCATAGTGTATTTTTGGTATTTCTGTGATAATCAATGGAAACCAATGGCCTCTGTTGGGATCTGCTGATATCCTCATGTTAAGTCAATGGTGCATAGCCCCATGTAAGTCAATACTACCTTATTGAACGAAATGATCCCTAACTCAGCTTATGTGTGCCCGAGCACTTTGATATTTTCCAAAGTATTATATGACATTCTATTCTTCATGTTACACCTAAGAATGATTCATTTTGACCATAGGAATATTTGCCAATAATCGCACCTCTTCCTTTACTATTTTTTCCTACTGGTCATATAAATTGAATATATGTTTCTGGTTATTGCAATGAATTTTTCCACAAATATTTTTTTGGGGAGAAATCCCGACCGGGGGTTCGTCCGAACCCATCGAACCCCCGGTCCCTACGGCTATGCATGATAAGTTCCCCAACACGGAGGAACTGTGCCCTTCCACCATTAATTCAGGTATCGTCAAAAACAATAGTACTTTTGTGTAAATCAATGAATGAGAAAATGAAGTCGAAATGAATACGATAAGCTTTTATATAGGGGTATAAATAATCAAGGAGCAACCGTGACAATGAGGAACGCGTCAAATTACGCGTGTGTGAACGATGCAATCATATTCAAATACGTACATGCACGTGATCACAAAATTGGGACATGATATGGGAGTATGTAGTATATTATTTTCATTGCATAAGTCCTTGCGGAAAGTTAGACGTAGATCTCCAATTTCCGCATATGTTTATGAATACGACGGAGAGATGTTTTTACGTCCAACGTATAATTGAGTTACGTGGACGTAAATGGAAATATTTATGTTGGCTTTATGAATAAGGCTTCAGATCCTTGCACGTTTTAATGCTCATTGGTCTGTCATAATGCTAAATTCCGAGGCTTTGCAACTCATATTGTTGACATATTGCCATTGCGGAAAACACTTTGTTTATGTTGATTTGAACAAAATCAAAAGCGTGTATATTTCAGTGGAACCTTGTCTGCAAAGATGCCCCCTTGGTTGGTATGGCTCAGACGATCTTCACAGCTGGCGTTCTCGTTGGGGCACTCTTCTTCACCTCTATGGCGGACAACATCGGGAGAAAGCCAATATTCCTGTGCTGCCAGCTCCTCATGGCAGTCTGTGGCTTAATTATCGCATTCCAGCCGAGTTATATCGTATTTGTTGTTCTTAGATTTTTCATTGGAATGGGGCAACAGGTTTGTCAGTTTGTTGCTTATATATGTTTGTTATTGTGAAGTCATCTCAAGGAGGATTGGCTCCAAGGGACGCAATTCGATATTCGACCTTGACGTTGACCTTGAACTCACTGGGGCGTATCGAAACCAAAACTCCCCACAAAACCGTTATTTTGAATTTCAAACCTACCCTTTCTTCGGAAAATCAATGATTGTGAGTCTCACAGTCTACCGTTTTTCTTCAAACTTGTTCCATTAAAAGCTTCACAGAAATAGCTTTAACTCGAGACATTGCTTTGTGTACAGAGTAACTCGTTTTAGCGGCGTTTTGGTCCCCAGATGTGAGAAGATGCAAATCTTCAGAGATTTCAACCAAAAGCCTCGATATATCGCCAGTTCTTTTATTATTCTCCCCTATATTTTGCACAAGGACTCCCATTACAACCCTCCATCCCTGCATCAACATATTTATTACATCAAACGCAGCAATTTCAAAAAGTCCTACGCATGTGTTCAAAATTGATCAAATAGCCATGTTATCTTCCAAAAACGCCCCGTTGGATTTACGTGTATACATTTGTAGTCATAGACTCTGCGGGGCGTTTTGGAAGACAAACGCTCGATTCAAATTTTGCCAGTTGATTTCGAATTTTGTAATCCCGACATCCCTCATGATCGGATTCATTGTTGGAAAATATTGAGATAGCATTCTGGGATCCAATCCTCTTTGAGTTTCTTCATACACTCCCCTCCATAAGTTTGGCAATCGGTAGATTTCATTAGGTTACATTTTAAAACCTATAAATGTTTGAATCTTGATTTTGTTCCTTTACAATAATCTGAAAAACTATGACTTTGATTAAATATTTTCAAATCGCAAAAAAATGGTAGACAGACTCTGATAAGTCACCTTGGTATATGGTAGTCATTGATAAGTTATCTTGCTAACACATGGTAGTCATTGATAAGTCAACTTGCTAACACATGGTAGTCATTGATAAGTTACCTTGCTAACACATGGTAGTCATTGATAAGTCAACTTGCTAACAAATGACAGTCATTTATAAGTCACCTTGCTAACATATGGTAGACATTGATAAGTCAACTTGATATACTAGTATACTCGTGTATAACGAGTCATTAATAAGTCACCTTGCTAACACATGGTATTCATTGATATGTCACCTTGATATATGGTAGTCATTGATAAGTCAACTTGCTAACACATGGTAGTCATTGATAAGTCACCTTGCTAACAAATGATAGTCATTTATAAGTCACCTTGCTAACATATGGTAGACATTGATAAGTCAACTTGATATACTAGTATACTCGTGTATAACGAGTCATTAATAAGTCACCTTGCTAACACATGGTAGTCATTGATATGTCACCTTGCTAGCACATGGTAGTCATTGATTAGTCCCTTACTAACAAATGGTAGTCATTGATAAGTCACCTTACTGACATATGTGGAGTCATTAATAAGTCACATTGCTAAAAAATGATAGTCATTTATAAGTCACTTAGCTAACATATGGTAGTCATTGACAAGTCACCTTACTGACATATGTGGAGTCATTAATAAGTCACCTTGCTAACAAATGATAGTCATTTATAAGTCACCTTGCTAACACATGATAGTCATCTATAAGTCACCTTGCTAACATATGGTAGACATTGATAAGTCACCTTGCTAACATATGGTAGACATTGATAAGTCATCTTGCTAACATATGGTAGACATTGATAAGTCATCTTGCTAACATATGGCAATGATTGATACGTTAACCTGCTTACAGAGTGTAGTCTTTGAAGAGTCACTTTGTCAACATAGGTTCAGTGCTGTAATCATTTACGTGCCGTGCCGTTTTTTGGGGTACTTCATGAATTTAGGGAATGGGCTCATGATCATGTTTTCAGAAAAATTTAATTATCCCTTTCACATGATCAATTTTGTATGCTCTTTTCTTTCCATAGGGAGCAGATCTAGTGGGCGTGATTTTAGCAGCCGAACAGTTTGCATTAAAACAACGAACGCTGATTATGCCGGCTATGGCTTGTTTCTGGGGAATTGGTGTTATCAGCACTAGTCTTATTGGTTTCTTGTTCAGAAATTGGCGACATGCTCAGATCTTCATATCAGCCGTATCTCTACTCTCCATTCCCCTCATATGGTGAGTTGAACTGACATGTTCCTTTTTTGTTAAATTGAGTACGTTTACTTTGGCATCTCAACGAAATTAAGCTGAACAAAAATACAAGTTGACCCTTTAACACATTTCATTATACACCCAACGGTCTAACCCGTGAATGAATTAGCTCAGCCCCAACAAAATACTTTTGATTTTAAGGATACTTCCGGAGTCGCCCCGATGGCTGACTGTGAACAGGAAATACAAGAAAGCCCTCCGTGTCCTCCAGCGAATGGCTAAGTGCAACGGTCGCCCCATCGAGGACGAGGTGGTCCAGCAATATAAGGCTGCAATCGCAAGAAAGACAGCTGAGAAGGAAAAGGATTTGGAAACGTATGGCTCCATGACAATGAAGGAAAAGATGTGCGGAGGAAGGAGCCATAACAGAATGAAGGCTTTTACAGTTGTTGACATATTCCGCCATAACGAAATTCGCCTAGACGCTTTCATCATATGTTGTTCATGGTTTGTACTTTGGTCCTTTCTTGATTTGGTTGCATGTGCAAAACTTTCATTATCACCATGATCACCGTGGTAGTTACTAACTACTAGTTAGTATTGATATTGTTGATTTGTCGAGTTTTGTTTAATTTTTCATGATAATAAATCTTTGCTTCCTCATCTATACGATTAGCATCGGGACAATAACAAGATGAAACCATAGGAACCAAAGGATAGAGGTATAAAAGAACACTTAGAAAACAAACTACCAGAAAACACAACCGGTTTCGAAGAAGCAAATTGCTTCTTCCAAAAAAGTTTCAAATAGCCCTCCTCTATTGCTGCAAAAAGTGTCGAATGACCCAACCCCCTTTCTTTTCCACAATGTGTCCAATAACCCAACCCCCTTTCTTTTCCACAATGTGTCCAATAACCCAACCCCCTTTCTTTTCCACAATGTGTCCTGATCTTCTTTCTCTTCCACAATGTGGCAAATGACCCAATCATTCCTCTTCGACAGTGTCAAATGGCCCAACCGTTCCTATTCCACAATTCGAATAACCCAACACTCTATCTACAGCTGGAAAACGTGCTCAATGAACCAACCCCCTTTCTCTTCACCTAACCCTGTCCGTCCGACAAAACAGCTACAGACTGATAGATATCTATTAACGTTAACATCTTTTCAAATTGTAATGTTTCTATATCATTAAACAACCGGTTTATAATTTCAGGTTCGTCAATAGCCTTGTGTATTTTGGTCTCTCATTGAGTGCAGGTTCTTTAGCAGGGGACCGATTTCTCAACTTTTTCTCGCTCGGAGTTGTGGAGACCCCTGCGTTTATTTCCTGTATATATTTCTACAAAAAGTAAGAATATATTCATATCAATAAGTGACATATTTACTTGCCGCCTTAACATGACGCTGACTGGTATGAAACTTGGATGTAAATGGTCAAACGCTCGGTAACATTATAGTTTACTGTACCATGTAGCATGGGTTGCCAGGTCTTCAACTTCATTACCCATCTTGCATTCTAGAGTTGGCAGAGGGAGGCCATTATGTGGATTCCATGTTCTAGCTGGAGTGTCTTTATTTATCATGAACTTCATACCAGAAAAGACAGGTTCGAGTATAAAATATTCCAAATTGTATGACGTATACCACATGCTCATTTTTTAATTTTACCTTAACTTTACCTTGTTACCTTAATATCTTAAAGTCACAGACACGTTCAAACACCAACCTTTTAATTACTTGTATTTAGCTGATGGGTGCAGTTTGCAGCCGCTGATTCTTACCTTGGTCCTACTTGGAAAATTCGGTATTTCTGCGTCCTTCTCCTTGGTGTTCTTTTACACGCAGGAAATATATCCAACAAACCTCAGGTAAGCCATGGACCTCTAGCATGTCTAGTCAGGAACATCTTTGTTTTTATTTTGTAAATATGCATATTCCGTATGTTCATATACGAAAGCAGACCCATGAACCCTTCCTTGGAGGAGCCCTGTATTTTTATGTGCACCCATACATGGTATACACGTATTACATAACGCACAACCAATTTTGTCTGAACCCGGTGTGAAAGAAATGATGGCCCCCAGGGTAATGGTCCCCTCCTTAACGGCCCTTACTGGCCCTAATTGCGTATAAGATAATGAGGGAAAGAGTTGTATTAAGGTCACCATATAAATCAATGGAGAGTAGTACCATAATTTGATAGGACCTCCTACCCTTTTACACCGGGTCAAAGCGATAGTTGTAACCTTTGCTCTGCCATATAGCAGGTGGACTAAGAATATTAATATGGACGTTGTCTACATTGACATGCATCTCATTTGTGTCCCCTAAAGAAAGGTGGATATTCAGAGTAATTTCAATTAATATATCTGCCATTCTAGGAACACTGGAGTTGGTCTGTCGTCTGCAGTCTGTTACAGTGCTGCAATGATAGCGCCCTTCACCGCTGATATTGTGAGTACTCATTAACATCAAATTGTGAAAATTCCTATATACCTATTATGATTCAGTATTCTACAGAGAGAACTTACAAAGTAGCTTACGTAATTTTTGGCAATCCAAGAATTTCAATATTTCTTATTGCAGACAAAGGTTTTCAAATACTTCCCCGGTGTTGTGTTTGGTGGTTTGTCTATCGCAGTAGGAATTTTTGCCCTGTTGTTGCCAGACACACGTCTCAGGCAACTTCCTCAAACCATTGACGACATTCGAAGATGGCAAGAGGCTAAAGAAAAGCATGGGATACATCGAATAAATGCTTGTTGGAAGAAGTCTTCATCGTACGCGGGAGAGGGCGTTCTTGTTTCTTCCGATCAAGACAACGAAGAGATCGGGAAAAAATTGGCTTTAGCAACAAATGAATCAGAAGTGTTTTTGTTGACTGGCAAACTGTCTGAATAAACACTAATTTCAAGGCATATCGATAGTGCAAAGTGGACATAAAGAATTCCACCAAGATTCAACAATTTCACGGCAGTCAAGTTTGATTACATACCCGGGATTACATACTAGTTTCCACAGTGCCCCTGGTTCCGAAAGAGCTCGGGAGTATAACTTCAGCTTCTCAGCTTCAGTACCTAGCAGTTTCAGTTCAATCTAGCAATGGCAAATGCCCGTAGAAGTTAAAGCGGGCAAGATTGTGGAGATGGATGATTTACCAAGCCCTTCATAGCCAAGATATTTAAGAGTACTAGCGACATCTATTGGTTAACTGCATATCTGAGACTTTAAAAATATTATAGTTTGTAGAGATACTGAAGTAAAAAAGTAAGAAGGAAGTCATCATCATAAAATTATTATGAAATCGATCAAAAAGCACTAAAACCTGTTTGAAACTGCCATAATTCCCTTACTCTATTCCAGCGTACCACACTCTCACAGCTAAAGAAGATCATTATTAAATACGATGGAAAGATCGCATGATAAAATCTCCCTTGCATGATTGCACCACAACCGGTTAAACATGCGTCTACGTATAATTCATAATCACTTGATGAATTTTCAGATAAAATATGAATACCATTGTAGTCAGGCAGAAAATTTAAAAGCCACCTAAGATATTTTTGAAACTCCTCATCGAGAAACAGTACACAGTACCTGTCCCGTACGCCACTCCCAAATCCTCTAGCATACGACCAACAAATAACCTAGCGGATCGGACGCATTGCGATATAAAATGCAACGTTCTCAAGAGAACCTGTAACTCTTTCAGGGAGGCAACCTTTTTAGACCGCCAGCTACTGATCATCTGATAAACCTCAATAATTTTAGAACTCGGAATTGATAATTGCATTTTCACGGTGTCGAACTCGACCCCCAAGAACGGCATAACCGTTGACAGTAAAACTCGCTTTTCTTTGGAAACCTCTAAACCCAGATCCGACAACAACTTTGAAAGCGACTGAAATGCACAACTAGCCTCTTGGACAGAGCCAACAACAGCAATATCGTCAATATAATTAACAGCCTAAAAACCCGCTTTTTGATGTAAATAGTCGATGGCATCCGTCATTCTTTGACACATTAAACTGCCTGTCCTAAGACCAAAAGGAACTCTCCTGTCAATATAAAGCGAGCCATTCCACTGAAACGCTAATAATGGAAAATCTAGAGGGTCAACACAAATCTGCCTATACGCCCGTTTCAAGTCTTGCTTATACAATAAAAAAACAGGTCCATGTTTCAAAACCAACGTTACTAATGCCTTGGTCACATTTGCTCTGATTTTCACTACGGCGCCCGACCACTTGAGTATTTTGTTCAGAAATGTATTCAATTTTGAACAAAATACTCAATTGGCCAATGAATCGCAGCAAATGTGACCCAGGCATTAATCATCCACCCTGGGATATGTCAAGTGGAAAGGTTCGCCATCACCTTGGTTACCATAACAACCATAACATGTCAAGTAATAATCATACATACATTTGCTACGATTTTCACTACGGCGCCCGGCAGATTGAGTATTTTGTTCAAAATTGAATACAAATTTGAACAAAACACTCAATCGGCCTGGCGCCGGCCGATGGATCGGAGCAAATGTGCCCCAGGCATTAGGTTTATAACTTATTCTGGCTTTTGGCGCCGCACGATAAACTCCATCAAATAATATATATTTTAATATTTTTTTAAATTGAATCACTTTCACAAATTCGATGGGTTGAGGAGTTGTTGCATAACTTTTAGGCCTCACAACGCGAGGGCCTACTTTGAGGTTTTAATGGTGTTAAAGAGGCTCTATGCCATGGGATAGCACAATCAAGACCCCTTGACTTATTTGCATATTGAGTTTCACCATATATTCACCCATCTACTTACAATAGAATAAGTCCCAAATTCCCCTCTTACAGTGTAGATTTTGCGATTGTGCTGGCCGATCTAATTACTTTCGTAGAAATTAATTTAAGCTGAAGTTTGAATATACCGGGAAAGTCCTCTTGTTATTTGATTGGTCGTTGAATTTGTTTTTCATGAACCTGATTGGCTGCCTGGTTCACAAGTTCAAGGCGCTTGTGGGCGCTTGTGTGACTCAATGGGGATTCCCCTCGCTAGCCGAGGAATCGATTGTGTTAAATTCTGGAGGCTGGTTGTTCTGTTGATAATTTCAATATTTATTTCGGCAATGATATACCCAAAAGTTATTCTCAAGATATATCCATGGTATTTGAGATATTATATAAGCAATAACAAAGGGACATCATTGATTGTCTGGGCGAGAAACCTATGGTATAATGCATCTTTAATAACTCTGAAAATCAATCGACTCAACTATCAATACTTTACTGAACACATTATAGTACATTCACACCCCTGAGGGTCAGGTACAAGAAAGTGTAATACATAAAAAGAATATATATGATTTAACACTAAACTACTATATACTACATATTATATGCCTAACTGTAAAATATGTGTCACTTCTTCGACAGGCATCACTAATATATTTTGCAACCTTGATGCAATCTTGATTTATACAAGTTAAGAGGTAAATATATAAATTGATTTGTTTGTGATTTTGCCGTATAAGATAATTCAGTTTGAAGTAATAATCTTTCATTTCGATATTTTTTACATTTCATCATAAAATGTTCTTCATCGATCATTAAAAATATTGCAATGGACACACAGTCTTTCTTCAATTGGGGTTTTCTTTGGTTTTGTATATCTCCCTTGCTTGGTTTGGAGGTTGTGAGCACTTATCCTCAAATGTGTAAAGTTTCTTCGCATATCTAGTTGTCGATTATATTTAAATAATTTTCATATTTAAAATCTTCCATGAGGGTTCTGTAGGTTCGTAGTTTATTGCCGTTATCCGTTTTCCTTATATCAGTGTTTAATTAATTCTTCCAGTACCTGTCAAATTTTAGTTTAGTAATGATGTACATCTTAAGGTATCAATTGTAGAATCCACAGATTCAGAGCAATTTATACCTATAATATCTTCCAAGTTCCCCATAAACAGCCATATTAATGGCCTTTCTACCAACTCCAAGCATGAATTTGGAAAATGATATGTTTAATTTTTCTGAGGGGAATTTGTTTTGGTTAAGTATGCTTCTTCTAGGTTCGAACTGGATACTTTGTTAAGATTAAAAGGGGGCCAAATTTCAGCCCCATATAGACAAATTGGTTTTATCATTTGATCAAACAGTTAAAGCCCAAGCTGTGTTTTTTGTCACACTGTTGAAGGCATCTTTTAAGTTTAAAAATTGCCTAACTAGCTTTTTCATGAAGATGTGTTTGAGCTGAAGCTGCCTGATGCTCGAAATATCACACCAAGGTACTTGTATTCTTGTACACACTGAACTTGGAGTCTACCATATGAGAAATAGTCAGTGCAAAGATGACTATTCTTTTGGAAATTAATTAATTTGGTCGATATTATGTTGATATTAAGTTTCCACCTTTCAGAACAGTTATAGCAAATCAAGAAGGTCTGACTCATATTCGACATGATTCAAGTTGATCATTGTACATGTATTTCATCTATCTATTATGTGTATGTTATGGCAATTACAACACTTTGTAATAAACTGCAGCCACAAGCATATTGCTTTTCTTGTAAACATTTGTTCTGTTCATTTGAACGTAACCTGACAAATGGTATAGAATATATCATACATAGTACATTCATCACACAGGAGCATTACGAAATCAACATTCATGAACTACTGTATCGATAAAATCGACAGTTTTCTGAGCCTTATAAGCTAAAGAATCATGAGAAATAAGATGAAATCTAGGCTATTCTTGGGTTTTATAGAATTACTTAATGTACTTGTTTATACAATGAAGTAGATGCCAGATGGCCTCGCCTGATGCCTGGGTCACATTTGCTCCAATTCATCGGCCGGCGCCCGGCCGATTGAGTATCCTGTTCACAATTGTATTCAGTTTTGAACAGAATACTGATCAGCCGGGCGCCGGCCGATGAATCAGAGCAAATGTGACCAAGGCATTACACGAGTCTCTAGCTCACTCAATGGCCATAGAATATAAGCCTCGCCAAATCTTGTTTCGAGTTTTAGTAAACTTAAAAGTACCCCTCTTTTGACGTACAACAGTATTATTGATTCCTTTTAGAATTTGCATGACTAGGATCACAATATGGTAATGGTGACAGTAATTCTCTCTGAAATTGCTATTTTCTCAGGCATTAGGAAATATGGCTGTAAAATAGTAAGGGACGGGGTAAGGGGTAATGCAACAGGTTTTGTTAACAGCATCTCCATCCAAAAATATAAGCAAGTGTCGGGTCACTAAATCTAGTCAGAGTAAAATAATTCAAACATTGTAGTTTTACTATGTCGATCCAGAAGTTCTGATAAAAATGCTCTAACTTAAAGTTTATCATCCGTTTTCCACAATATTTTCAGTCTGAGAGTAACTAGATCATTTATTCCCTAATAGGATATAAAAAATGTAGATGCTGGTAATGAATACATCTGAAGATATGGTCGCTATGGTAACCTCAATAAAGCTATATTGGGACAGGGTAAAATTTGTGACGTTTAAAATTGGATTTCTTTTGAACAAATGATCGAAACCCCATTACAAGGTTACGTAATGCTACAAATGTCTGTTTTAACAATAACTGCTGTTAATATCCTCTTCTCATAAGTGTGAAGTCATTATAAATCCTGTTTGATTCAGAAAACATGAACGCTGCATGATATATGAGACAATAGATAAACACATAATTTGCTTTCAGTTCAACTACGTAAATCAATTCAGAAAAAGCGACCGAACAGAGCCAATTATGTTTGCCTAAGACAATACATCATGTCACAAATCTGGCATGATCTGCAATATCATCAGCAAAAAGTTACATATGTACTAGGTATTAGGACAGAAGGATATTAGGGCACCATGAGTGTCTCATATTTAAGAACATTTGTTGAAATCAAAAATGCCATTGACATCTCACTAGAACTGAAAAGGTGTGTACAACCAGTGGATGGATATATACCAGGGTGTATTAATGTTGTGTATTAATGCCGAAGGACAATATTTTGAGCATCTTTGTTGAGTTTTACCTCAAATAGGATTGCACGGGTGGATTTAGTTTTTCAGATTTTCAATATGAGTTATGATGTCAATATGAGCTCAAATCCTGGACCAAGTGCCCCTACCATGGGGTAGAAAAAGTGCGATTACAGAAAGTTTTATCAATAAATCATTCTGAAAATTCCCTGCTGTATAGCCATATAAATTATGTAAATTGTGTAAAAATTTGTAAAAATTTCTTAAGAAAAAGATACAGCGTTTTTATCAGAAATTCTGAATCGGCCTTTGTATGAAGAAAACCTGTAATGTAGAATTTAATGCACAAAGAAGGAGGGAAATTAGTGCAACAGATTTCGGACAGTCATATGTTTGATTTTGGCCATTTCCCGGGGATTTAAACAGGTGCATACGTTAGGCGAATGCATTACCTCCAGGAAAATCACTTTAAGAGATGATAAATTAATTTCGACTTTGAGACAGGGTAGATGCAAACAACTCATCCACATGTTTTTTCTGAAATGTTTTCCTGATTTTCAACCCCTTCCATCCCTGCTTTTTTAATTTTTCTTGCATCAATATGTTGCGTTTTGACACAAAGTTAATCCCTTAAAACGAATAAATGATTCCTTTTAGATAAAGTGGAAAACAATATTTCCCATGTTGTTTTCCCATAGGGAAAAATCATTGCTTTCAGCTAAGTTTGGTCACCCATAATGGGTATCTTTAAAACCCCTGAGGGAATCACTTATTCCTTTAAAGTGGTTAACTATGCGTCAAAACATTGATGTAAGAAAAATTAAAAAAGCAGGGATGGAAGGGGTAGAAAATTAGGAAAACATTTCAGAAAAAACATGTGGGTGGGTTGTTTGCATCTACCCTGTCTCAAAGTCGAAATTATTTTATCATCTCTAGAAGTGATTTTCCTGGACTAACATTGTTTAAATGCTCAGAAAATGGCCAAAATCCAACATATGACTGTCCAAAATCTATTGCTCTAATTTCCCTCCTCCTTTATCATTGACTTTTTTGGACCGGAAGAACGGAGAGAGAACAATATATTTGTAGGATTCAAAAACTTTCATTCATTTATGTTTTGGGTTAAATCATGGTCATAATGGATTGATTTGATGATAAACATTTGTGATATCTAACCGACTGTATAACATGTGATATATTAATCTGTTCAAACTGCATCTAAAAGGTAAAACCCATTCTTATTTATCAGAGTTAATCATAGGGATAATACTGTAATACAGACAGTGGATCCCACAATGGGTAAAATGACTCGTTGGCGCTCTAAACTAATCAAACTTTTGAGTCTTGCAATAGCGTCTCAAAATCTCGTCCATTTAAATATGATATCAATATCCAGGCTCAAAATACTTTAAAAAGATATACATTAAGATTGTAATGATTATGTATGCATTGTTCTTTATTTTTGTCACAATAGTACAGATTTCACGATTTCTCTATCAAGTTGATTTACTTCAGAAGCCCTCACTTTCACGGCAGATCTTACGACCACATACTCGAGACTTGCAGCATTTGTACTTTGTGCCCTCTGGTGGTATTAGGTTGACGCCTTCTCCATTACACTCACAATCATTGTTGCACACCCGTTTACAACTTGCAATATCGGTTACATCCTTTTGAGGACAGGTTCCAGGGAAATGCTCAGCTTAAAGATAAAACATTATTTTAAAAGTGATGACATATTTCTAAAAATGCATATTACAACCCAGTATTCATTGTCCTGTCAAGCTCGTGAACTTGCTGGTTGTCTTATGTACCAGATAACATGTTACACCTATATATAGGTATCAATATCACAAATGCTCGTACAAATTAACATGACATTTACACTGCACTCCATACGTTTGGAATATGTGTTAAAGGCCTCTTTGTGCTTAAATTGAATCTGTAAAGAAAACTACTTTCAGGACTGGATATCATTTCAAAACCTCGACATCCCATGTAAAAATTAAAATATTAAATCGGACTCTAGTGTTTGAAGAAAATTTGAGTGAAAGTATTCTCGAACCATTTACTCGTTTGTCTCTCATAATTCTAGATTTCGGCATAACTGTTGAACGTTTGTTTTCTTCAAATGTCATGGTTCATGACATTGTTGAACACTTGAATATCATATTGCAATTTTGTTTGTGTATCTCAAATTTAGTCTTAATATAGCGTGTTTAGCTTTGGGTAGACGTTGTCATTTTCGGATGCCCAAACGTCTCAGGAACTCGAATATCGTGATTGGACGCCATAGTGCACAGAAACCGAAAGTCTACTTAAGTGGCTCCGCAAAAAAAGTTACAGGCCCCGTTCACGTTAACCTGTTCTGAATAGCTATGCAACGTACACTGTTGATCGGTCCAATGATTTAAGCACGAGGTCCTAACTTCGACCGTTAATTTGAATTTTTGACCTACCAGACGCTCGAAAATCAAGGATTGCGAGTCTCATACTGCACCGTTTTTCTTCAAACTTATACCATTAAAAGCAAAACTAAATTGCCTTTCTGTCGGTGCATTACTTTATTGTAAAGAGTCCTTCGTTCTAGCAGCGTTTTGGTCCCCAGCTGTTAGAAGGCCTTCTTACACCTGGGGACTAAAATGCCACTGAAAGTAGGGACTCTGTTTAAGAGAATAATGTACTAACAGAAAGGGATTTTTGTAATGCTTCGAATGGAACAAGTTTGAAGAAAAACGGTGCAGTATGAGACTCGTAATCCTTGATTTTCAGACATCCGGTAGGTCAAAAATTCAAATTAACGGTTGAAGCTAGTACCGCGTGTTAACACGTACTGAGATCTCTAACTGAAGCAAAAAAAATGCGTTGGATAGCATAACATTTTGCATTCTTACAATATAACAGCGGCATGCAGTGCTTATCCATTTCCCCATTACAGTTTTTCATCGGACAGCAACCATATGGCTTAGTGGGGTCAGCACTTTGTCTGCATTGAGAATTCTTCTCGCATGGGCATTGTATTTCGTTAATTCCGACGTTTTGTCCGGCGTAATCAGGACAAACGCATACCATTTTCTGAGAATTAAAGTACAAACACTCTAATAATATTAAGTTATGAACCTTGTAAGTATTCTATTTTACGTTTACTGATATAAAATACACTATGATAATAAAGAATCTACTTACGGCATAACATCCGAGCGCCATCAGCAAAAGACACACTGTTCGAATCATGTCTGGAACCAAGAGAATCAAATCATCAAATGAACCCGTATTCAATGATTGTACTAAAGGGCGCAATAAATCAGCCGTATCTATTAAATAATATCGACAGTACAATGCGAGCAATAAAGAAGACCAAGGCAAAACAGTTTGTAACGTAGAGTTGTTTTTAATTTTAAACGTGCTGTTAATATACTAGATTGCGATTGATTCAATAATAGAGACTAGAGAGTTTAAGCTTGCAATGTTTTTCACAACATAACCGTGAACGGAAAAGTACGTATGAATCAATATACAGATATAAGAATGTGTCAAGCGCGCACAGTTTCATATGCACTTTTTAGTCTACTTCAGATACCAATTCGTCTTAAGCGTTGCGTAATTAGAACGGGAAATTTCAAATTTCATGGGAATCCTTATACTCGTGTCTGTTGAATACGAGCCAGGTAATTCCAATACACAGTAGAATTATTTCTGAAAAAGATGATGTATGCCATACATGGATTTTAGCTCCAAATGTCTTCCAAAACGAGCTCGTTTTTTTAATTTGTTTTAGAAAAATTTAAACCAGCTGTAGACCTACCAATGGCTTAAGTGAGAAAGCTACGTGCATTTGTATATGGTCTGTTGATACGTATACGTTGTCGTTTCGATTTTATTCTTTATCTTCCTGTCCGTGTTTATCGAGAAGACAATGTGTATTTTCCTGGGTAACGTGCAATGTTTTCCACTTAATATTTTTTCTGGACCACGTATATGTGCTTATTGATATCATCGTATATCTGTCCGCCGCTTCTGGATATACAGGGTGTCCCGAAAGTATGCCCCCCCCCCTAGGCAGACATATTCCAGTGTCCTCATAGTATGTGTCATATATCATTTTAAAGCTTATCTAAAGTTACATTGATTTGCCAAGTATCATGGTTTAACTCCAAAATGCGAAAAAGTTACAGTCATTTTAAAAGTTAGTGTTTTGTCAAAGTAAAGTTCAATTTTACACCACATTACTTGTCAAATGTGTTCCCCTTGGCCATGTTAACAGCAGCAATTATTTTCAGATATGACCTTAAAAGCCCTTCAAATAGGGATGTGGAATTTTATAACCCTTTTAAAACCTGTTAAGGGGCCTTAGAAGAGTTTCCTTAGAGTTTCTACCCTCAGCGTTCCCTTTTTCCAACTCAATATCCCTCCGACCCGAAAAGAATTGCAGCTATTAAGATGGCCCGGGAAGACACATTGATTAGTGATTTGGTGTAAAATTGAACTTAATTTTGATCAAACACTAAATTTTGAAATGCCTGTAATTTTTCACATTTGAGAGTTGAACCATGATACTTGGCGAATCAATGTAACTTTGGATAAGCTTGAAAATGATATATGACTCATACTATGACGACACTGGTATAATATGTCTGCCTAGGGGGGGGGGGGGGGGCATACTTTCGGGACACCCTGTACATTGAATGCAGTGAACTTTTTGTATTGAATTTACTGAATTGTTGGAATAAAAAATGTGAGGATAAAGTGCCATCTATTTCAAAGAATGGCACAACCCAGTCTTTACGAGACGACGACATGGATGATACCACGCACGATGCTTATTAAAAACCTATGAATGATTAACGCTTTGCTATACTTGAATTTGATTGGCTTAGGTACATTCAGAATATTTTGAATTATTGAATACTTTAGAATATTTGAGGAATAATCGTGAAAAGTATCCAGATTCTCTGTAATTGGTTAAGCGTGCATCTGTTAATAAAATATTTGTTGACGCAATTAAACCAAGTCAACCAACGTTGAAGTTTTTAAAAGAATACTCGAATTACCCGTTCTACCCTGCGTTCCGTTTTGCCCCGGACGCCCGTAATACACGATTCTCCCAGATGATAGATTCCACCCTGTTTTATCGCTATAAACAATATATCAACAATATTTGTGTTTAGATAAATATAAATGAAAAGAGTATATATTATATATACGTACCTATCAGCAATTAATTGCTTTAGATAAATAAAAGACGACGCACGATATATGAATAATTGATCATACTCTAGAGTTTGAACAAAAACAACAATTCAAATAATAATTCAAAACCTTCCTTCATTTGAACAATTGGCATCATATTATGTTTTCAGTAAAATCATGGTAATCATTGTTTTGGAATTGATATATCAATTCCGTTTAATTAAGTTGGGAAACACCATGGGAATTCCTCTCTATGATCACATGTCTAATGACGTAGAGGCCCCTCGTGTGTTAGCCATTCAGTAAGCTTTTGTTGTCGAGGCAGCATGTTATAATGTTTATACAGATTTTGAACAATGTCAGTTTGTCAGATTATATCCCAACCCTCCTACCCTGTTCTTAGATGACTTATCCTTGCCGCCTATTTTTGCTAGTTATCATTTTTGTTTGTTTTTCGAATGGTTTATGAGGGTTTATGCAAGTATAAATTGATACAATATTTATTGACTCTTGATTTGACGCACACTTATAACATTTATTTATTAGCTTCCCTGTTGCTAAGTGGTATTTTATGACAGCTTGTTTGTTTTCTTCATTTTTCACGATGAATACTTTAACTTATTATAGTTTACGTACAGGATGATCCAGATTCAAATTGAATTTATTTTCTGTTTCGATTGTTATTGTATGTATGCATTCTTGTCAGCTCATAAGCATGTAGCCATTTACGCTCTTAAGCATTCATGTTGTCGCGCATGTTGTAAAACATTTTATTTGTAATTTTGTAATTGTAATTGATGTGTTCATATTTTCTAATAGCGTGTGAAACCATGCGCCTGCAGCACACTTTTATGAATGTCTTTTAGAGTTGCCGAATGCCAATGTAAGAAGCATTTTACTACAATGTATTCTACTAGTTGAGTCACTGTTCTTGATTGTTTTCTTTGTTACAGTTTAGTCATATACACATTAATCCGTATCGGTATTTGTATTTTAACTCTATGTAATTTATATGCTTGTAGTTACACACTGTTCATATATAGTTTTTGATTGCACTGTATATCTGTTATTGTGTATGTATAACGTGTCATGTAACGTGACGTTAAATGTATTTTTACTCGTTTCACAGTTTTTACTTGATTCACAGTTTTTGTGTTTACTTGCATCCTCCCATCACAGTTCATGTCTGTTTTAGTGCTTTTGAACATTGAATGTACTGTTTTATTGTAATCTCATTTATTTGAGCTGTGCTCATTGTGTTCTTGACTGCTTCTGGAGCACTGTTCATAGTGGAACACATGCGCGGCTGTTTTTTGATTAACTGTCATATACACTTATTATATAATTTTTAGGTAGTTAGTCAATTAGTTATGGTATAATCATTGATTTCAATTAGTACTTAGAAATATATTATGTAACATTATGCAATGTCGCCAAACAATACTCATTCTTGTTTGTTATTTGTTTATCAATGTAATTAAATGCTGTCTCTATAATATATAATACTGCCCTGTTTATCACTTTTTCTCAATGTGTGTATATTCATTTGTTTAGGTTTTAAACGACAGATTGTCATAGTTTTGCTACAAATACAGGTTGGGCCAAAAAACAATACCCAACTTTAAATCAGACTGAAAATACCTATGTTCAATATGATACATTGATTTATATATCATTTTAAAGGTAATCCATTTTCGAACAATTTGGTATATAACACTATGTCATGAAACCAATATTAATGTTTTATCATGCTTATTTGTGAGGCCGGGTCGGTATTTAAGGTATCCAGGTTTTAGGGAGAAAATAGTAAATCTGTGGAATAATGTTAATTTTTTATTTATAGAATATCATTTTGTTAGGTGAATAAATGCTTGTATATTTGCATATTGTGTGGCTAAACTTATTGTTTATGAATTTTAGTGTTGTTTATTATCAATAAGTACTCAAAGGGGGTCTGTTAAAAGACATTAAACGTAAATGTGACGAGGATTTTATTTTCCAACAAGACATTGCCTCGTATCATAGATCAATAGAGACATTGGCATTTCTTTGCAAATAAGGTGTCAATTTGATTGATCTCGATGTTTGGCCACCCAACAGCCCCGATGCTTATGTGTTAGATTACTATACATGGAGCCATCTCGAGGAAATGGTACAATCAAAAGCATCCAATAAACAGCTTTGATGAGTTGAAACAGAATCCTAAAGTGCTGAAATGAATTGCAACAGGAATCTCTCAATAAGGCTATTGATAGATTACGCTACCACTTGAAGCTTATTGTTGATGCAGAGGGGAGGGGGTGGGGGTATATTGAGCAATTGTGAAAATTGTTTGGATAAATAAAGTGTAAAATGTTATTAAACAACACTAAAATTCATAAACAATAAGTTTAGTCACACAATGATGCAAAAATTAATATCCAAGCATGTATTCACCTAACAAATGAATGATATTCTATAAATAAAGAAATAACATAATTCCGCAGATTTACTATTTCCTCCCTTAAATCTGGAGACCTTAAATAGCAACCCGGCCTCCGAAATAAGTATAATAAAACTTTACTATTGATTTCATGACATAGTGTTATATACCAAATTGTTTGAAATTGTATAACCTTTAAAATGATATGTAAGTCAATGTACCATATTGAATGTAACTATTTTTATCCTGATTTGAAGTTGGGTATTGTTTTTTTGGCCCACCCTGTATATTAGCGCAAATGCCAAAAGGGAAGGGTGACTAAAAACAAGGAAAGCAAACTGTAAGTGTAAATATGGCATAAGAAAAATAGACCCTATATATCCCAAAACCATGATCTAACATGAAAAGAAACAATGTCTGACATCCCCCTCCCCCCTCCAATCGAAAACCAACATCACAATCCAGGACCAGAACACCAAGGGACATTTCATTCATACTGAACACAACGGGAAACACTATTTTCTAAGCACTACTAAGAAAGAATACTTAATGTCTTATCCATAAGTAATAAGCACTACTAACTACTAATTCTCAGGAATAAAAAGTTCACACTTATCATACCTATTGAGAGATAAATATTGCTTATCCTCGGCCCAGGTACGTCTTATCTGTGTGTCATGTGACTACTGTGTTAATTAACTAAGTAAAGCATTTCAATTTAAGTGTAGTATGTTTGCATGCAGCAAGCATTTAATCATTTTTGATTTTTGATTAAAAATAACTCCTTTGGATCAAATATTTTAATTCTACTAGAGTGCGGGGAGTGGAAACAAGTCTCCATTCAAGCACTAAATATCAAAATGAAGATTTCAGGACCCCTTCACTTCACTCCCGGACTTCACTATTCACCACCACCCATCCCCCTTCCCCAATTATCCCCAATGACCCCAGAATGTTCGTTTCTGTGCCGCTTGTCCATGGCCAGTAATTAATCTATGTGTATATTGTCTCCCTCCAAAAGGTAGGAAAAACCAGATGCAGACATAAACATTGACAAGGTGAGGGGATTTTAATATAAAAATAGTCTTGTTTTTGGCTCTGACTTAAATATCTTGACACTGTTAAACGAAGCCGGTTTAAGGAATGAGAGGCAGAAATAATTCCTAGATGATCTTTCTTTACTGTAATCAAGATGCTACTTAATCGCAATTTTAAAAGGGATTAAGTTATTTACCTTGTGATAATTTAATACTACTTATTGATTGGTTTGCCAAATATAACACCCCATATAAGACCCTTGTCTCTGATTGTAAAACATGTGTATGCACCAAATCCTAGGAATATTACATTATGTGAAACAATTCCAAAAAGGTTTTGTCTTGAACTCAATCAAATAGCAATGTATTTCAACATGTAGAAATTATTTATTAACATAATGTCGGGCACTATAGGTTAAAGGGTTTTCAGTCTTGCTCTTTTTGTGTCACGCTTTAATTGTGTGCTTTATTTATTTGGGATTTGAATTTGGAAAGGTGAATTCACGATCAATAAAGTTTATAATATCATTTATTAACCAATGCATCGAGGTAAAGCTGCCTTTCAAACACATCATCTATTATGCATGTCCATTTGTAGCAATCACACGGCCCATACCAGGGGAACACTGTTATCTGTCGCATTTATTACAGTGCCCGTATGTCAACCATACGGTGACCGCACGTTCAGCCTGCCTTTTCTATGCCCGTTACATGTAGATGTTAATGAATGGGAATTTTTCATGTTTTTATTTTTATGTTTTCATTAAACAGCCAGAAAAAAAACTATTTTTCATTTCCCAAGGAATTTAAAATGTATCTAATATATTATACAATCAGACAGACTGGCTATTCTAATCCGTTATGAAAGGCCATTTGTTTTTTCCACTACAGGATGTTTCTACAGAAGTTAATTAATTGTTTATCTAAGTGTTTAGATGCATTGTCCCTTGACGCTTTCATGAAATAAATGAACTTTGTGATGGACTACAATTGTATATTTTTACAGGAACAGTTATTTTTATCACCAAAGTAGAGCACTTTTTACATTAATTTAATTTTAGGTCTCTCTTATTAGTTGCATTGCAGAAGTCTAATATTATTCTCTCCGTGTGCCGAATGTACTTATACCCGTAGCCAAGGGGTGGGGTGGTTCAAGGAGTGCGAGTGAACAGAATTCGAATTGAATACAAAATAAATATGTAACATATAAAAATATAAGTACATAATGTCTAGCCAAGTCTTCTTGCATTTTCTGAACTTTAAATGCGCCTTTTGACGTGTAGTAACAAAATACTAAATAAATATTGATGATACTCCAGCTTGTTTTTATATTAATTTGGCAATGAAACATGTATAAAGAGATAGCAAATTGTGCACAACCCAAATCCCTTCCCCGATCGGGTCGCGTTTACTATGTTTGTTAAAATGT